ACAAGGGGCAGCTGCTCACGACATTTGGCCGTGACCTAAACGAGAATACATATCGTCTAGCGTTTGCATTTGTCGATATTGAGAAATTCGAGACATAGGACTGGTTTCTAGAGCGTCTGCTGCACGATTTGGGCGAATGCAGGAACGGAGAGTGGGGATTTATATCAGACAGACAGAAGGGGCTGGTTGAGGCCATATCTGTTCGGGCGCCGCGTGCAGAGCACAGGTTCTGCGTCCGACACATGTACAACAATTTCAAAGCTCGATTCAAAGGGCTTGCATTGAAGAAGTATTTATGGTCAGCCGTTTCGACGTATAGTGTAAAGGAGCACGAGAAAATTATAAGAGATATCCGAAAGTACGATGCGGTGCACGGGATTGGAGAAGAGGCATACGCGTGGTTGAACGAAGTTCCCCCCCACCACTGGTGCCGCGTCTGCTTCTCGCGGAGGACCAAAAGTGATGCGCTTGTAAACAATATGTGTGAGTCCTTCAACCAGTATATAATGGAAGCGAGAGATCTCCCAATTGTATATATGTGAGAGTGGATAAGGCGCAACCTTATGGTTCGAATACAGACGAAGCGTGTGGGGATTGAAAAACTCACTGGAGCCATTTGCCCAACATTGTGAAGAAGATCGACAAACAGCGGGTAGAGTCCAAGAACTATTTTGCGTCGTGGCGAGACGGAGAAAACTTTGAGGTACTTTATTACCAACGAAATTATGTGGTTCAGCTTCGACATAGGACTTGCACGTGTGGGATGTTTCAAGTTTGTGGGTACCCATGCTGCCACGCCATTGCAGCCATCGATCACCACCGTCTTAACGTTGACGATTTTGTGGACATCTGCTTCCGGAGAGAGACATATGAACGGGTTTACAGTCACCATATCAATCCCGTCCCTGGCATGCATGAGTATGAGGAAACCCACCTTGGGCCGGTTGATCCCCCGAAGATAAAGATTCATACGGGAAGACCAAAGAAAGCGAGGAGGCGTGATGGAAATGACGAGAAGAACCCGGAGAAAGCCTCTCGGAAAGGGTTGACGACCACATGCTCAAAGTGTTTGCAATAAGGGCCATAACAAAAGACGATGCAAAAATGTTCCATTTCCTCCGAAGGTAGTAGTCCCTAGATCATATTACTTTTGGAGTAGTCATTCAAATATGGGGTCGTAATTCATGTTACATATTGCAGGTGACTACGTAGAAGTCAAGTGTAGCCGGGCCGGATTTCCGTGACACTCAGGATGATCCAAACCCCTGTGAGGTACTATATTAACTCACGACATACGAATATCGTTGACTTTAAGCTATGTATTGATATTAACTGTCTCTTGATAATTCATCATAGGAGAATGCGGCGTCGAATAGAGATTCGCCGCACGACCCAGACACTGCAGGCACTGCTTCGCAGCCACAGCAAGTACATATTCGTGCCACTCCAATTTTTCTCGTCACACCTCAGCCACACTTAATAATTTATTTGTTTGCATATTAGCAAATAGAGAGGAACAAATTCCGGCGACAAAGACAAACGACCAACAACATCATCCGTGCGAGCGTACATCGCATCTCTCTTGAAATCTGTTTGGTTCTCGAAAACACCGGGCACTCGTCGGGGTGGTGGTTCATAATTGTGTATTGGACTTGGGATTTCTAAGCTTTAATTTTCGTATTACATCTGCTAGGATTCCACTGCCTATGTCGCTTTTGTGTTAGCGAGCTTTTGTGTTAGCGAATTGGTTCATGCGTTTTTGTTTGTGGGTTCGCTACGACATGACGGTAGTGAGGTATTAATATTGTAACCGAAATTCTGCATTGCGTGGGGCTGGATTTTATTTGGAAAGCAAGCTCCTGTCGGCTACCTTCTACTATATGTCCGTGTGTTAAATTTATGATCATCTCTAATTGATTGCATCAAGCAGAAGCTTAACTGAAGTAGATACATGGATTGTTTGCCCTAATAGATGATCATCTCTTATTTCATAGTCTATCTTGTTATAGGGTGGTGATAAATTATGACTTTCCAACAGGAATAGAGGACTATGTACACCGAATTGGTGGAACTGGTTGGGCGGCAGGTGCTACTGGACTTGCATATACAAGAGATGGTTGTTGGATGCCTGCTGGAAAGCATGATGGCTGCTGGAAGCACCAGAAGTAATAACCAAGGGAATGGTTACTAATACAATAGAAACACGCATCAAGTACACGCATCGGAATAGCAACAAGAACTACACCTTCTAAAATACAACAACCACAAGAACAACACAAGTAATTTAAAAACTGCATCAAGTACATGCATCGGAATACCAACGAGCACTACACCTTCTAAAATACAACAACCACAAGAACAACACAAGTAGTTTAAAAACCACACCCCCCGACAAGCAACAATAGGTTGTTTAAAGTGTTATTTTAAATAACACAAATACAATAAAAACAACAAAAACCGTCATGATGTTTTTCAAATAGCGTCGCAACACCTTCAACTCTGAAATGATCTGCTCGTTCACCATCTTAATCTCCCTGAACTCATCAATTAAACACACGGAAGAGTCGGCTTCAGTATCCGCGTGCATTTCATGATCCTGGTGACTTATGTTGAGAGGTTCCAGCTAACGAAAAAAATCACAAACCCCCATCCAACAGTTGCAGAATAATCTACCTTTGGTCTCTTTCGATGGACCAACCACACGTATTGCAGCAAGGGCACCACATTTGCACTTTGGACATTTATACCTCAACTCAAAACTCATTCTTTTTTTCGCGTGAGAATTACTACTACCTGTAGACATCTGCATATTGGAAAAATCATTCAATCTCAGAGAACTATAAAATTTTCTAAATCAAGATAAATGCACACAGATCACTACAAATTAAAAACCTCAAAATTACAAACAGGACCGAAGACATTGGGGCATATATCGAAAAAAAAAAACATTCTAACTTGATTCAAAGAATAGCCATGTAATATACCAATTTTGGCCACTACAAAGAAGATAGCCATATTCGAAAATTTCATCAAGGAAAAAACAACATCCACCTAACCGAAAACATATTCTGATGTCGAAAAATACATGAAAAAAATAAATTATGGGAGAAATGAAGCCAAGGAAGAAGGTGGAAACGAAAACATCACATCTATTTTGCAAATACCTACTTGGAAATCGGAAATCAGTGGTTAACCAGCGTCGATGAGGTGATTTGGGGTGTTCTGGGTATGCTTCAGTTGTGTTAGATTGATTGATAGAGAATGGTTGTGCTTAATGGGAATGGAAGGGTAAACTAGGGAATTTGGGTAGTTTAAGAGAAGCAACAACAAGTCTAGCCGCTTACTCCACGCGTGTATTCCACATTCCGTTAACTTTTGCCGTTTGGGGGGTTAGGCGCAACGGTTCTGAAAATACATGGAAGAACCACGCAGTTTTTAAAGCATAAAGGAAAATTGCGCCGAGATTCCAAACCACAAGAGGATATAGGCAGTTTTGCCTACAGGTAATGTAGTGTAGCTGAAGTTGAATCATTTTCTCAAGAAATCAAAAAAGTTATGTTTTCGGTTGTTTAATATATAAATATAATAAAAGGGATTTGGAAGTTAATATATATATATATCAAACGAAAAAATTACGGCTAAAAGTTAAATTTAATAAAAATAATATCTAGTTTATGAATGAAAATGACAACTTGAATAGTAGATTTCATCATTGATAAATATTTATTTTATTGATTTCTAAATAAATGAGTTATAGTTACCGACACACCTAATAATTAATTCTTCCTTAGTTTTTCGAAAAATTACTAGTCTAACCGCATTCCAAACTATGAGACCTCATTCAATTTAACAATTACATATGCAAAATTGTTTGAAATTGATTATGCGATTTTTTAGTGTATATGCCGCTAGTTGCTACTTGAATTAAATTAAACACAATTACATAGGCCTAATTAAATTTAACAATTTGTCTTTAATTTAATTGAAATATCTGACCACAATAATCAATTAAATTGCAAATGATTAGACATTAAAATAAAAAATCACATAAGTACTTGGGAACCAAAAAAATAATATAAAACAAAATCTAATCTCCAAATCTATAGATGTTTTTTTTACTCCTAAAATAGAAAAAATAATCTACTCGCTAGTCATTGGAAGAAGAATAAAAACAATAAAGAAAATATCTACATATGCAAAACTGTTTGAAATTGATTATGCGATTTTTTTAGTGTATATGCCGCTAGTTGCTACTTGAATTAAATTAAACACAATTACAGAGGCCTAATTAAATTTAACAATTTATCTTTAATTTAATTGAAATATCTGATCACAATAATCAATTAAATTGCAAATGATTAGACATTAAAATAAAAAATCACACAAATACTTGGGAACCAAAAAAATAATATAAAACAAAATTTAATCTCGCAAATCTATAGTTGTTTCTTTTACTCCTAAGATAGAAAAAGTAATCTACTCGCTAGCCATTGGAAGAAGAATAAAAATAATAAAGAAAATAAAGATGGCATAAGAATGATAGAGTAGAAATAAAAATCTCTTTTAATTTTTCTCCTTATATCTCATGTGTTTTACGATCTTTCCGATGGACCATTCCACGTTATATTTTATTGTTCTCTCTTGTTATTCTCAAAAGTGGCACCATCCTCCCTTTTTATATCAGAAATAATAATTTTTATATTGCAATCTTTATTTATGCAACAACTTTTTCTAATTTTGCCTTAATTTCCCTTTTGGCCCAAAAATTAAATTGCAATCCTTTTTCTTTTTTTTCTTTTACACTTTTATCATCTTTTACAATACCATGCACTTGATACCAAATATAAGCATCGAAACAAATATCAAAACCTAAACATATATACAAATAAATTCCACTAAAATGCATACTATTAGTCTATTACCTATATGTATGTGTGTGTAATGGGCGAATGGGATCTTATCTAGGAATCAATCGATCATGCAGTCTAAAGGAAGGGACGAACCAACCAACAAAATGTGTTCCTAGCTGCTACAAATCCGTTATCACTGTCAGTGTGCAAATAAATACATGCAGGTTACTCCTAGCTCCCGTGGGGCGGAGCGGAGCCAATCATTTTAAGTTCAAAGCTCTTGACAGGTCCGGCGGCATCACGCATGGTGGTGTCCATGACATAAGGAACTCCGTCCACCGTGATCTCCGTGGCGTTGTCCAGGAACTGCCGGCATGGCTCCCGCCGCTCCGCAATGGTGCCGTGGTAGTGGAAGTATCTGATGCGCGCCCCCGTCCTGTGTGTGGACTTCCCCACAAAGTTCTGCGATATGTGCACCCCACTTGCAAACACGCCCCGCGGCTGCACTGCGTACTTCCGGTCCCTCCTGATGCCCCTCTTCACATCTCTGTACACCAGCTTCTCGAATCCCCATTTCCTGCCACACCCACGCACACCACCAGGGCCAGGGGATTTACAGATCAAAGAAGCTAATCAGATACTCTCCAAACAGTAAACATGTCAGTCAAAATAAGCTCTCCCTCCTAGTCCTTCCTATCCATCATTGATTGAAATCTACGAAATTGAGCTAATGAGTTGGGACGGAGCAGAGGCTAAGTTCGGCCCCGGGAATATATATATATATATAGCTGCAGAACATCCACAAACACAATGCGCACATATATATATATAATTATAAATATAATACTAGTGTAATATATACCGAAAAGCCGTGGGAGCATCCTGAGAGAGGCAGAGCTTGTTGGACATGGGTATCTGCTCAATGGTGAATTGAGTGAAATCGGAGAGGGAATCCACGACGGACTTGATGGTGTTCTTCTTGGGAATATATATGAACTCGTCCACATCGAAAAAGAACATCCACCTGGCCGCAAATCTATATCGGTGCAAACAATCATTCACAATCAGGAACTGGTTGTGGTAGTAACCATCGAACCTTTCCTGGTCCCTTACGTCCTGTAACGTCACGAACCCCTTATCCATCCACGGCCTCAGCACTTGCATTAGCCCTCCGTCGCGCACGCCACCGGCGTCGTGCATTACAAAGTGGGACCGCGCGCCGAACAGTCTCACATGGTATGCCAGCCACTCCCTGACTCTCTGGGGACTCAAATTCCCGTACAGAGGCGAACCACAGTAAAGGTAGTCATACATGGGCCGCGAATTGAACTGCGCAAGGAAACGGGCAAAATCTTGGGGGGTTTCGTCCATGGCCAGAATAGTGTCGGTTATGTTGACGGTGCGGTCACCGCCTCCGTTGGTGGCCGCCTGCACAAGAAGCTGACCACCCTTTCCATCAGCGCCGGCGGGGGTAGGGAAAGTGCAGTTGATGACAACGACCGTGTAGACACGGCCATAGCCCCAATCTGGGAGGATCCTTTGCCCAGGAACGGAGAGGGAGCTGAGAGGGCCGCGGTTGTGATTGTGGTTGTGGTGCGGCGGTACCCACACGCATTGGTAGGTAGGCTTGCCGTAGAGATGCAGGGGCTTGGAGGACAGACCGACGACGGCGAAGGTATGGGGACCGCCCCTGTATGCTGACATCATAATGAAGTTGTAGGCGGCAGAGCCGTAAGGCCTGAAAGCTCGCTTCAGGATGCCATCCTTTGATAGCAAGTGATCTCTGATTCTGTTGCTGTTGCTGTTGCTGCTAGAATGGGGGTGGGCCGAGGCCGGGTTGTTGGGATAACTATAATTATGATGGTAGTTGCTATGGTGGTCTGTGGGATGAGAGGCGGCGGCGGCGGCGGCGGCAGGGGAGAGGCAGCGGCGGATGTCGGAAGGGGAGAGAAAGAAGCGGGGAGGGAGGAATTGGAGGAGAGTTGCGAGGGAGCAGATGAGGAGGAGAAGGATGAGGAGGGGTTTGAGTTCAGCAGCGCAGACGTTCCACGCAATTCCGACCGGCATCTTCCTGTCCTTGATGCGCGCTGCCGTTTCCGTTGGGGGGATCGCACTGGTGCTGGTACTACTCCCCATCACCATTATAGATAGGCTTAGGCTAGCTTTAGGCTGCGGTGCCCCCCGAGCCCCAGGGATCTCTCTCTCTCTCTCTCTCTCTCTGCCCCCTTGGCAACACCGATCGATCCTCTCTCTCTCTCTCTCTGTTCTTCAATTCACCTCTACCCTACCCTGCAGCCCCTCCCTCTCGCAATGCTTATTGCTGCTGCAATATGTATCTCTCAATTCAGCTCAAGGTGTGTGGGAACTCCGAATGCGTGGGAGGAGAGAGAGAGAGAGTTAGCGAGAAAGAGAGTAATAATACTGGCTGGCTAGCTTGCTTGCTGCACACCACAACCAAACCAACAAAACTTGGTGTGCACCTGTGCTGTCTTCCTTCTCCGCCTTCCCTTTCTTTATTTTAATAATAATTGAAGGATAATCATTGCAAGGAGACAGAGACAGAGACGGACAGACAGCTTGATTGGGCGGAATGATAGCGAAGGTGGTGTGATTTGGCCAGGTATGACAGGACCGGACCGGACCGAGGTGTTTGGGAAGGGAGCGGGGTAGGCGTGTATGCTGATTTTTACGTGGCAATTGTTTAATTATTATTTTCTTCGTCGTTGAATTTTATTCTATTTAAATTTGACATCAATTTTAATAAAAATGGATAAAAATAAATTATTTTTTTATAATAATAAAAATAAAAAATAGTATGTTTTTTTAAAAAAATAATAAACAAATACGATTAAAAAAATTGAATAACTATTTAATTTTTTTAAAAAATTAATACGTTATACTCTCTCCGTCCAGTTAAAAATATACATATTTCTTTCTATTTTGGGACATACAATTACTAACTATTTCATTAAATACTTTATTTTTTCCACAAATATCCCTATTTTACATCACATCGTTACTTTTATACAAAAAAAAGTAAGGGCAAAAAAGTCATTTTATTATTTTTACCTATCCACTATAATTAAAATATTATTACTCTTTAATCTCCACGCCAAAAGTAATTGTATATTTTTAGTTTGGACGGAGGGCGTATATATTATTATTTTTATATTCTCTATCTCCGCCTTAGTAAATATATATATATCTTTTTCAACAATTTTATGAAACAAATACACTAAGGGTGTGTTTGTTTGGGGAATTGGATTGATTTACACTATTTATCCAATTTTTTTCTCCTAAAAAATTCAAATCAAACACCTATTTTTTATTTTTTATATTATATTAAAAATCAATTTTACATTCAAAACATCACATCAACACCTATTTATATCACATCTGTTCAAATTCAAAATATTTACTATTCAAATTCAGGTCAAAATCCAAACCCCAAACAAACACACCCTAAGAGAGATCTAGTCCACCAACCAGCCAGTCACATAAGATTGATTTATTTTTTTTTTTAATGTCTCAAATTAACGCATTGCCCGAGTGCTAATTTTATGGAAAAGTATTATTAGAACAGTTAAAATTGATTGAATCGTTTGCATCATTTTCAAAGGTCAATTTTTTATTTTTTAGGCCGATTAAAATATTGGTCTAAACGAATCAATTAAGACGAATTGCAGTTAGATGTGAATTAGCTCGCAAGTAGACCGGTAAGCCGTAGCTCAAATAAATATATTTATAATTATATTATATCTTTTATATTTCTAAATAAATATATTTATTTTATCATTTTAGTTTGTTGGAAATTAATTTATTTATTTTTAATAATTATACTTGCTACATAACTTTGAAAATTTTATAACTTATATATTATTATAATAAAATCATTATTATTGTTTAATACTAATATTCATAATTTTTAATGAAAAAGTAAATAAATATAAAAGATTGATAAAATATTATATTTTATGATAGATTTTAAAAATATTTTATAAAAAGTTAAATTAATTATTAATTAATTTAGTAGAAGTTTTCATATCAAAGTAGATTAAACTAATTAATCAGTATATACGGTTTGCAATATTAGTTTTTATATTATAATTTTTTCGGTCATGTGACCGTTTTCTTTATTTTAATTTTTCGTTTGTTTTATTATTTTTCTTTCGTACCATTCGACGGTGAGCTGAGTTGGGCTTGCTAATCCGCCCCATAGTAAATTTGCCCACAAATACTCGACGAATTTGTAAATTATGATGAATTATGAGTTCAACATATTTTTATAGATCTAAATCTGAGAGGCATTCCCAACCTTAGACCATGTGGGATGGCTTTTAAATCATGCCCTCCTTTCTATAATCAGGTTTTTTTTGTCAACTAAAAGTAAAAGATTACATGCAGTGCCTTAAGATGTGTTTTTTTTTTTTTTTTCCATGAGCTTTCAATTTTTGATATTTAAATTCTGTATTTTTTTTAAATATATATATATTTTTTATTTATAAATATTTTATTATATATTATTTTAATATCAAACTCAAATAAAAAAATTTCAAATTAAATAAGAAAGACACCCTTAGTTATTGAAATCAATATTTAGAGGCACCGGCAGAGGGGCTTCATGCAGTCAAAGACCTCTCCAAATCGCGAGAGAAGAGAGCAACCATTGTTGTATTTTTCTTTTAGTGAGAACCATTGCACGTAGTCTTAGCATCGGTTGCGTAAAGCAGCAATCTTTGCATTTGGACATTAATTAATAATAAACGAGCAACGAATGGATGGTTTCTTTACGCCTGGTTTTAAATTTTGATCAATTTACCCCATAAAAAGTGGCTTTAAATAATGCTCCAGATGAGTATGTAATGCATTATTAAAGGGTGTGTTTTGATTTGATTAGATTAGTAAGAACAAACTAGGTAGGGAGGGAGAAGGTAAAGATCCCAATCACCCTAAAAATGGCAAAAGATGATATATATATGTGTACGTAAGTCTATTTTGGAGGTGGAAAGAGATGGATAGACATGGTGCCGTGAACGAGGAGGACACGAGGGCGGAGAACGTGGCCACGCGGCGCGGAGAACGTGGCCACGCGGCGAAGGAAATAAAACTTTGCGAGCTACTGAATGCATTTGAATTGCCCGTTTTTCAACAAAAACAAACAAGATATTTATTATTAGTATTATTATTTAGCATATGTTTATCAAAAAAAAAAAAAAAAAGATTATAATTAATCTTATAAAAAAAATAATATCTATATGAATTTATATATTTATATATTGTTTTCTATTTTACAAGGTACTACTTACCTAATTTATAATATATTACATAAATTTATTATTATTATTATTATTATTATTATAATATTACATCATAGAGATATTTTTGTTTTTTATTTTTTTTTTACAAATCAATATAATATTAATATTTAAAAATATAATTACAAAAAATAAATAATACTCTTATTGCAGGACGAAATTAGTATTTACCTTTTATTTTTATTTATTTCAAATTAAAATATTTGTTTCATTTTTATTTGATAAAATAGCATAAAATCCTCATGGAATTTTCACAATTTACTGAAAATTTTTTATGATCATAAAATTTTATATTACTTACTTGTAGTTCCTCCCATAATATTTCAACAAAAATCATCTCCGTTAGTAATTAACGGCGATTATAATTCACGCTCCCAGAGTGCAACCGTTGATAAAGGAAAGCCTGATCTTTAGTACTTCACGTGTTGAGGTGAGCATGATGGAATAGTACAAAAAAATTTACGATTGCTGTGCTATGGTATGCAATTATAACATAATAAGCAGTTGTATTTAGGTGCATAAATTGAATCGTCATTAAGTATTAATAGAAGATTTTTTATGCAATATTTTTTGAACCACTAATAAGTAATATGAAATTTTAAGATTAATAGAGATTTTTAACAAATTTCGAATATTACATGAAAGTTTTCAGTAAATTTCTAAAACTACAGGTCCAGACAATTTCTCCAATTCAACACAACAGGAGCGCTGCGAGCCCATTCCCGCCAAACTCGATCAATCCAAATGGAAAGATTCAGTCCAATACCATGAGATGAGACCACCAAGACAGGCAGACCCAACATTAACCATGGACCGCCCCAAAACCACCAACTCTAGAATGCCCAAAATTGAAACACACACATACCAGCAATCACAACACATCGATTGAATAATATCCCCGATACGGATCCAATCAAATTGAACTTGATGTCTCGAAAACCCGAAGATAAGACTCCTACACCAATCTCGATTGGAACCCACAAAAATTCAAGGTCGAATAATAATTACTTTATTATTATTATTTATTCCACAATTTTTTAATAAAAGTTTTAATGGTAAATCTATATTTCGGATTAAAGGATTTGATGGAACAAACTTTATAAACAAAGATATGAATTATTAGCAAAAAATAATTAAAATAAATTTAAATTAATATAAGCCATTCAAAATTAAATTTAAAAGCTATTGAAACTGAGCCAACTCAACAATAATATGATAGGATTTGTTTTTGATATTCTCCGAAGGCCTCGTTGTAGTAGAGTTTACTTGGGAACTTATAAGGCGTGAAATTTTCGAGACTTGGATTTGCACCCCAACAATATATATATATATATGTATAGTAATGCTAAAAGACATAAATACAAAGGGATAACCTTATAGTGTAGAGGTTGGACTTGTGACTATTAGGTTATAGGTTCAAACCTTTGGAGCTTCGGGTCACCTGCCACACATGTTTTCGAGATATGAATTGTAACCCTAGGAGTGAGTAAACAATTGTATTATCTCGAACAAACTAAAACTAATGGGTGATATCTAAGTCGTCTTTGTGTAATTTCGTTTGAATGAATGGAGTATGCCAAAGAAACAGAGTAGTCTAGCGGTGAGAAGAATCCCCTCGGATGTCAATAAGTTGATCCAGTGAATATGATAGTACGGTAGTACTTGTAGCGGGATGGATCAGGGATAGGGATAGGTTTTGAGAAATATGATATCACGTCGATTAGAGAAAGAAAGATACTTGGAGACAGATAAATCACATAGATAGAGATGCTCGATCGGTCGCTCAGCTCCTGTACGTGTACTTGTACTTTGCATGTTAATTCCGGCTGTTACAGGAAAGAAGGAAATATAATACTCCTATACATGCAGTAACACAGAAGAAAGAAGAAAGCAGCCGCAGCATCATCTACTCTTGGTCATTCATTTCATTATATTATATATATATATATATAATATATAGAAAGGCAAAACGATCGACCGATCGAGTGAAAGAAGGTCTGGGCTGAGCTGCGTCTCTTCCTCCCTCCTTCCCTCCCTCCCTCCCTCCCTCTGGATCGGTTGACTCAGTTCAGTTGAGTTGAGTTGAGTAATTGCAAGAATATAGTTTGGCTCGGATAACATCCACAATGGGAGCAGCACAGACGGGGCATTTCCTACTCCGCAGCTGTAGCTCCTGGGCACAACCATAGCAGGTGCACATGTGCCCGCACCTGACCCACCGCGTACAGTAAGCAAGCAAGTAAGTACCCATGGAGAATTGGAGATGGAGATCCATCAATCTTCCCATCATTCTCATCTACTAATTTATTCATTAATGAATGATCTGATATGGCTTTGGCTTTGGCGTACAAATTAGATTCTAATCTAAACAGTAACCTACGTACCTGTACAGAAGAGAATCAACCTCCTGCATCTTGCAGCAGACACAACATCTCCTCTCTCCTTTACCCTTCTTCACTGAATTGATCACTCGCCCGTTCTTTGCATCTGCAGCATCATCCCCATCATCATGTAATGTAAGGGAGGAGCTAGCTAGCTAGGGGTATCAACTCTCTTGATAATTATTCATGACGACGACAGACGGAGACAATCAATGGACTAATTACAGAAAAACATCCAATTAAGATTAATAATTGACCTGAATGATCCAGAGATGTGGGGATGGATCCTTGCAATTTGATCTGCATATCCATGCAACATTTAATTGATCTTCTCAGCAGAGACATCTCTTGACGCAGTTGCTCCATGTGCCTTCTCAAATCGTATATCAGCTCCATATCCTGTACGACCTGCTTTCAAAAATCCTCATAATGCATGCTTGCATATATACCTAGAATAGTAATAATAATAATAATAATAGCAATACCGTAAAGATTGACTTACACTCGCAGATTGGGCAGAGTTAGTCCCGTTGTAATTGTTATGATCACGGCACCAAATGGACGACGAGGAGTGTTGTGTACAAGGAGGAGGAGGAGGAGGAGGAGGAGATGGAGCATGATAAGAGCAATCGCTTGATTCGCGGCCTTGATATGTTTCTGCTGCTGCTGCAATATAATCCATGTAATCATCCGAGGACTCGTTATACTGTTGCCCAACTGTGCTCCCCGCTTCTTCATATCCATCGAAATAGTCTTCCTCCTCCTCCTCCTCCTCCTCTTCTTGCCCACCCACTCTGTCAATCTCTTCTCCTTCCTCCAGTAATCTCTCTGCGCAAAATGGCTTCTCATCAGCATGCTTTTGATCTCCCCGCAGCGACCTCTTATTCTGTGGCGTCTTCTGTCCTTGGGCACGTGATATCATCACCCGATCGATTTCCTCTCTCAGACCGCTGGACAGAAAGGTTGAGACGCTCCTCCTGGGTATGTTTATTCAGACAAATCAGGGGGCGTCAGTGATCAATAATTTATATGGCACAACCCAATTGAGGAATCACACACACACACACACACGAGACATTAGATCGAAGAGATGATTTGTTTGGTTTGACTACTGTTTGGGGGGGGGGGGGGGTAGGGTATTTGAGAGGGCTAGCTCGATGCCTAGTTATTTCTCTCACATGTTTCATATTGCTAGTCTGCTGCTTCTGTGTTGGCAGGCAAGTTTTTCATGTAGAAATGTGATTATATATTTTAATATTGGATCGATCATCATATGTTGGACATGAATTGGATTGGAATCTGAAACCGTGAATTGATGGATCAATGTCAGCCATGCAAGTATAGAGACAAAGCTAGCTAGCTTTACACCTTCCAAGCAGCACCCTGATTTCTTCGTTGTCTGAGAAAGGATCAAGCATCTCCTGATATCTCTCTTGCCTGAGATATTCCCAGTCGCTGCGAGGCCGAGATACCTCATCAATCCAATCTCTATAGCTTCGTGCTTCTTGCTGCTGCTGCTGGTAATCACCCTGAAACTCTTCCCATCCAACTTCAGGATTAGAAGAAACATGGCTTACCCAGAATGTAGCAGTTTCTGCCATTAATTCCTGGTTACTGCCCGATTCATCCTCCTGCAGGTAACTTGGGGGATGATCACACCGGTCACCATCGCCGATCAAATCGTATCTGCTTTTCACAGCCCGCTGATCCACGGTCTTCCTCTCTTGGCTATGGACCTTGAGTTCGATATCGCGGCGGGACTCGGCCATCTCTCCCGATTGGATCATATTTATATCGTGGAAGCTGGTCCTAGCCTTCTTTACAGATTCAACTGACCTATGGTTCCCAATCTCTGTGCCGCCTCTTTCACTCATAAACGCGGACAACTTACTTGCCTCATCATTATTACGTGTCACGTTTTCAGCGAGTTTGGAAGAGCTGTGTTCAATATTATTTTCCTCAGAAAAGACAAAGATTTCTGAGCCTGGATCGTGATTTTCCCCAACTCCAAGACGAATTTTTGAGTGAATTACTTGCTGGCATTGATTTCCTTGTACAAGTGGAGTGGCTGCAAAGATGGCTGCTGGCGTGGAAGGGGCAATCTCGGTCAGTTCTTTGTGGCCGCGGCGGCCAGAGTGGACGGAACCACCTGTAATGCTTGGATCAAGTCTTTCCCTGAAGGCAAGTAATCAGGTGCGTTCAGACTCGGTAAAAAATATATATGTGTATTTCCGAGTCACTGTTTTGTAAACTGTAGGCAGAAACGGGAAAGCCCTAACCTGGAATGTGGATTGGCAGCAGCTTGCATGGCTTTGTGCGAACTAGAATGCGATAGTGTGTTAATTGAATGCCGATCTTCGGTAGCTTCAATGCCACGGCGCAGGAATTTGATTCGAAGCACGGCCTGTTCATTATTCCAAACAAGGAAGGAAGGGAGGAAGGAAGGCATGAGATCTCATGAGCTTTGAAGGATGGGAACTAGTAGCAGCACTACAAATTAAGCAAATATATACCCTCTCCCTCCCAAACGCGTGAAAGTATTAAATAGGATAATTTAGAAATTAAATGAAATATATATCTTATTTTTTTCATATGAATGATAGAATAAAATAAAATGTGAGGTAGAGATTAAGTATAATTAATTATTTTTTATTTTAAAAATATTATAGAGTGTTTGAAACGTACTAAAAGAAAAATATTGTAAGATTTTTAGGCCGGAGGAAGTATAAAAGAAAGAGAGAGCGGATCAGCCAGCTAGTAGGTAACTAGGTAGGCACCTGAATGCGGCCTCGGTGAGAAAACTTGGAAACAGCCTTACGCCCCACGAGCCCGTCAAGTTCTTTGCGCCTGTCGCCCTCCATCTGTATCAGCAGGTCATGGTATGCCTGGCGTCCCCTGATCCTCGGGGAACCCAGGAGCGGCAGAAGAGGGGGTTGAGGCGAGGCGGCGGAGTCAGCAACAGCAGTATCGGCGGCGGCGGCGGCAGCAGTGCTGGAGGCGGATGATGATGATGAGCGAGGATCCTCTGTCAGTTTTCTGATGATGTCGACGACCCTGAGCCTCTCGCGCTCGCGCTCGGTGGCGTCAGACTCCCTCCCGCGAGAGGAAGGGGGCCCAGTCACGGCTGTCCTGTCATATGTTTCCCAATCCTCCTCGAAAGGGTCTTCCTGCTGGTCACTGTTGGTATCGACGGTGGTAACAACGGCTGCTGCAGGGGTGTCCTGAACCTGAACCTGAGATGCGGTGAATGAGGGAGAAGGGGAGGGCGAGGGGGAGCAAGACGCGGATGCCGAGGCGGAGGCGGAAGCAGAGTTGTTCCTGCCACCGCACTTGACCTCTGCCTCGAAGTCTCTCCATTTCTGAACCAGGGAGGAGACCCCCCGCATATTGGGAACCGAATCCCCCTTGCCGGAGAACACCATTTCTCGAGCTCTTCTCCACTTGCTGCTGCTGCTGTTGCTGCTGCTGTCATCATCATTGTTGTTGTTGTTTCGATGGCAGTGGTGGTTTCGGGACGGGGCTTCATTGTTGGGACGGTCTTGTTTATCTTTCTCACGATCACCGCGCCTGCAACGATTACGATTATGATTATGATTATGATCAGCTTTGTCATGGTTGTTATATTTTGTGGTGGTGGTGGCGGCGGAGGCAGCGGTTTGCCATTGAGGACGATGAACCCATAAGTCGGTAAAGTCGATTGGAGGAGGAGGAGGGGGAGGAGAGTTATTAATGGTGGTGTTGCTATGATGATCGGGGGGAACGCAAGAAGTGGAGACCAAGTTGTTGAGGTGGTCAGAGTGGAAGGAGGAGGAGGAGGAATCGCGGCGGCAGCCAAAGGGAGAGGAGGTGGCGATTTCCACTTGGGAAGACGCCATGGCAGCCTTTAATACCATGCATGAAAAGGAGTAGTGGCCCGGGTCAGATTGATCATGAGATAAAATCATTCACAAGATCAAACAGCACCCATTTCATTAATTACTTTTATGCGCACGTGCACCTAGGCCAGGGAAGAAGGCACGTAAAGGAGGAGGAGCAGGAGCAGGAGGTCCGGTCGTTTGATTTATCGCAGAGAAGTGAGACGCAACGAGTCGTCGGAGGAGGAAGAAGAAGAGAATGCGAGGGGAGAGAAAGAGAGAGAGTAATTAGAAAAACAAGAGAGAGAAAGAGAGAGAGAGAGAGAGGAGAGACCGGGAATGGTGCGGATCTCAAATTGTTGTAAAATGCATGCGACGAAGCGTTGAATTTGGTTCCGGTAAATGCGCGCATCTCCTCCTCTTCTTTCCGCACATTAATTAATTGAGATTAAAACTATTCTTATTTACTATCCTCCGATCCTATTTTATATTTGCATGTCTCACATCATTCATTTTTTTTATTTTTTAAAATATAATTATACATTTTAATTACATTTTAAATTTTATAATTTTTATAATTTTAATTAAATTATTTACTTATATTAACTTTAATTTACAATTATTTTTACTAATACATTTCTTAATTATCTACTAATTATATTTTATGTAAATTTTTGTATTTACAGTGATAATAAGCCCAAAATATTTGGGAACCGATAGAAGTATTTATCATCTAGAGAAGAATGAATATCTTTAAAAAAGATCAAATTAATATTTGATTTGTTAATTTTTTGTTTTTTTTATTAATAACCTAAATATACTAGCACAACAATACTATGAGTTAATGATAATGAGTGAGATTAGGAATTTTATTCTGAATTAAAATAAGTTTAGATTTTGGCATAACGTGATGGTGACATGTAGAATTACTTTTATAAGAATGATATTGTAAATCCCAATATATTCTATTACAATTACTTTTATACTATTTTTACCAATGAATTCTAAATTATGAAATTAAATATAAAAATATATTTATAGATAAAGTTGGCTAATCAGAAAAGTACAATGAAAAGTTTGCTGCCTAATGGCCAGCGAACAATGAGTGTAGTGAAGATAAAGACGAAGGTGAGCGCAATGATAAGAATAATCAGCATACCGTATATGTATAATGATAAATTGAGCTAGCAGTGGCTAATAGTGATAGTGATAGGCAAGCGATAACATAGTAGCCGATAGGATGATCAAATATATATGCGAGTGAAATCTGTGTGTTACTAAATGAATATAAATTCTTGGGTAAAATAAGCAGAAAATAGAATCTAAAGTGTGTGATATATTTGTTCTATCACTAGATATTTTTTAGATGCCCAATTAATTATCCTAAAATTTATTACATTAGTGATTTTAATTTTTTGTCACCTCTAGATTTAATTAAAAAATTAAAGCTCTTACTTACTTAAGTATTTCAGATTATCTGTCAAAGTATTTCAGATTATCGGATTATCTACCATCTGTTATGTGACTTAATAACATGTTCAAACAATTAATCTTTCTATGTAACTTTCTCAGTTTATCTACAATCAAAATTTAAACAATCAAAGATAATTATTATTTACAAAAATAAAACGAGTTTGGTGGGATAGTAAAAAAAAAAAAAAGAAAAAAAAATCCAAGTCCGAAAGACCGAGGAAAGGTACTATATGTTACCGGGTAGGACCCGGACCGGGATGGTTTTGGGGGGGTGGGTTTTAAGTAGGTGCAAGTTAGCGCCCATGGATTGATTCAGTCTGTTTTGTGCGTTAAAATCGGTCCATCGGGTGAAATTGGAATCAGCAGAGTCACGATAGAGATAGCGAGGAAGGAAGGATGCCGTTGAGCGCGACCGTCGTTGGAGCCCTACTGGGGTTGGGGACTCAAATGTACTCCAACGCCCTCCGCAAGCTCCCTTACATGCGCCGTAAGCAGATATTTATTCTTGTTAGAATTTAATTTATTTTTGACCATGCGGTTGAATCGATCGCACAATCGCAGATCCATGGGAGCATTTGCTGGGAATGGGGTTGGGGGCGGTGCTCGCAAACCAGATGGTCAAGTGGGATGCCAAGGCTCAGGAGGACCTTGATAAGTTACTCATCAAGGCCAAGCAAGCCAATGAAAGCCGCTACTTTGGTACCCTTCCTCTCTTCATTGTTCCTTTTTTGTTTTCGACTATTATTTCGTGGGAATCATAGCTAGGAAGGCCACTCTCTTTTCCCTTTTCTTCAATCCTATCTTTGTTTCTTCGAAGCCATTAATCTACACTACGAATCGGATTTGGATGGTTTATGAGTTGCCCAGATTCCCCGATGCTTCTACTTCTGCGCGCTTTGATGAATTGACACAATATAAACCAGTTTGTTATCAATCTGCGTGTCTATGTAAGCATGCCTCTCTTAGGTCTAGCGTGGAATTTGATCTGATTACATTAAGACCGCTAGTTTTCTAAAATTGCCTTCAGATGGCATACGCTACTGTGTTTTGAAGATCTTGTGTATTTTTTTATGAAAATTTCTGGGGTTTTTTCCAAACATTTATATTTTGGCTTTTCATTCCCTTTATAAGAACAAACATTGCTTTCCATTGCAAAAGGAGTGGTTTGTCTTATCAATATCTATCTATTGAATGGAGAAGCTAAGCTAGCTGAATCAAAGAGCATGAAGGATGCTTGCATGTGCAACCAATACAAGAACAAGAGAATATGGAACTGTGTTGTGTGCCATTGCTTTCCATTGCTAGGCGTGTGTTTTTATTGTTTAGCTTTTGAAATGTGAAAATTAAATCAAGATTACCGTACCCCAGGGCCAAGATCATTTTAAAGTGTAGTAAAAGGTTGTGAAATTCAAAGGTAACCTTCGAAACATACTTCACTTGGCATTTTCATAGACAGAAATGGGATGCTTTGCCAATTGAAGCAAGTTATGCTGGTTTCATTTTATCTTAGAAGACTTATAAAGGCATGATTGTCTTTTTAGAACAGCAGGAAAAATATGCACTCTAATGGTTGCAAGCCTAACGGGAGTATCACCAGGGATTCTGATATGACGTGAAAAACAATTCCTTGAAGTACTCTAACCTACTACAGGAAAAACCTGTCCTAGGTCAAACTCCTGGTCCTTCTTTCCGAGCCACGTGTAGACCATGGGTGGTCTGGGCTCCTCTTGCTCAGCTCATTCCTTGCTTGCTGCCCCGTGTTTGCATGAGGTTCCCTATTCAATTACTAGCTGGTTGAAGGCATATAAACCAGGGATTTGTTAATGTATCCTGAATGCAGATAGAAAAATAGAATTATACCTTTGCTCCAATTTGCTAGAGTTGGGACCAATCACAGGCTAGATCCTCTCTAGGCCAAACCCTTTGGGATATTCTTCAGGTTCATTTCTTGATTATAATTAATAGTTTGTATCTGCCTGTTTCAGGCAATTAGGCCTGATCAAATCGTAGACATTGAAAACCTGCTATTTTGAACCAACTGTAATAATATGTATATTCCCATGAAACATTAAGATTATGAACAGGACAAATAAATTCAAATCTAAACTAAAGTTTTATTATCAAATTAATCTGTAATGGGCTCTTACTAATGATCTGTAGATTGTTTGCGGAGTGGGAAAGTTTGCATCCATATACTTCTAGAGTGTTACGTGTGACAACCCTTAATGACCTATTGTTTAAGAAACTCATGGTTTGTTGAGGAGAAAGTCTCTAGGTACAAATTGGGAGAATGGATGGCCGGTGCATATTTAGGCAAATCTTAAGGTCTATGTTTCTTTAGTGCTTTTTGACGGGACAAAAAGTTGTAATTTGTCAATAGTGCCTGTATTTAGTTCTGCTTTTGTGATAGTTTTGTATTGTAGTATTATTGAATGGATTATTAATATGTATTTAATGTAATAATGTTTATGGTATGTTTGTGTATAATTATATGTGAACAGATCATTATTGACGCAATTGTTAAGACATGCATGTCTCTATATGAGAGCAAAAAGAGTGTAGATATTTATTTATTTCTTCCGTGTTTGAGGACTTAAAGTTTACTGTTTTACAGAGTATTAATGTGAGGATAAGTATGGTTTTGGATGAAGTTATACTATCTTTAGAAAATTTTCTTCAGTTGGGGATACAAATTGAGTGTTACATGTAATAAGATGGCTGATGTCGCACATTTAGGGACTTCTGGTCCACCAATGTCCTGAGCCAACATGCGGTGGGGTTTACTATTTCCTGCTTCTTCTACAGCTTACTATTCCTTTACAGTTTTCCTTTGGTCTGACAATTCTTGGCACCATTCATCAATATTTTGTTTTCTTTGACTACAGATGGGAATGAAGACTAGAAGGTTGCTGCAGTTAAAGCATGTATTGTTTTGGAATTCCCTAAACCTGAGCACTCTGTTCACCCTAGATGGAAACCTGTGTGGTGTCATTTGAAGATGATGGCATTATGTAATTTTATTTTGTTTTTTCCAAAAAGAATAATGAATTCTATAATCCTTTGCAGAATATTTAGATTGTGCATTGTCACTTGAGTTCTGCCAGTCATTGGCCAAACACATGCTCCTCGTGAGCAGGTTGATGCAGGTGCAGTCAATGATATTATAGTTGTCTGGTGCAATAAAGTAATGCATTCATCCTAAAACCTACCACAACCGTCGCGTTAGGAATATGTCAAGCTATGCGGCTGTTTTTAGTACAAAATGCTTGCAATGTAATGTTATTTTGTCTCACGGAAATTTACATGTTAGGAAAAGAGATTTTTCATGCTAGAAATGCAATGCTACTTGTTGCATCAATCTCTGGGCAGAGGTGGTGGCTATGCTAATCTCATGTCTAGCGCATCCGATATGATCAGTCAGTGGTGATAGCGATAATGCAGTAAGGTCTGTATCAGATGTTCAGGTGATGAGTCCGCATGCATGACCTATGGAAGGAGCTATTAATATGGAGTGCCAGAAAGAGGTGAAGTAGCCTCTTCCATGATATGGGAATTAGCTATAGCTGCTTGCTTGCTTGCCTGCCTTGGGCAAGAAGAAAGAAGTTTCTTTGCGTTGGACTTCCAGTTTGTACTTATAATGTAGTATAGTATAATATAGTATAGTTTGTTGAGATGCCATGGGAGTTGCGATGAAAAAAACACCAGGCACATGATGTGGAATGTTGAGAGATTTTGTTATTAAGGTTTCTTTGTTACAAATACTCTCATCAGTCAGTCATTCAGATGATTTGCCTGATAGGGACCACACCAAGTCTAGAGGCATTAGAAACACAATAATTAAGCTTATTGATTGCTCCATTTTAGTAACAGTAGTCTGTGTAGTCAAGGGGGGTAGAGGTAAGGTAAGGGGAGGGGAGGGGTACATATTGGAGAAGGATGGGAAGTTAATGCATCAAATGCAGTAGGTAGTAACTTGGTTGTAATACTAATAATTAAAAGAATAATAGAATGGAAATAATAACAAATAATAATAATAATAATAACATTAAGGATCGAGTTGGGTGCAGGCGGATCGGATCGGATCGGATAGCAGCGTGCGTCAGTCATAATATATCCATCTCCCTATAGCTAGCGAGCTCCATTTAGAGGATTGGATCGGGTCGGATCGGGTCATGGAGGATTGGATTGGGCATTAGATTACATATAATACCCTCCAAACAGACGGCATTTATTAACAATCCCACGCAAGTCGATCGTCGTCGTGGTCCACGCTACAGTTATAAATCGAGGGAGGAACCTGCAACGCATGAGGATCCACGAACTGATCAAAATCCAAGTTGTTAGGGCTGCCGCTTTCACCAAATGCATGATCGTTAATCCTTGCCGTTGCTGCGGCTAACTGCTGATGATGATCATCTCCTCCTCCAGTTCCACCCGACGATGATGAGCTCCCAACTGCTACGACGCCCCCATCCCCACGGCAATCGTACCCTATCTGATAAATTACCTCCTCCTCCTCCTCATGCCGTCGTCCTTGTAATTCATAAATCTGGTGCAGCTCCTCCTCCTCCCCCTCCTCCTCCTCCTCCTCCTCCTCCTCCAGGGGCAATTCGCACCAATTTTTAATGGAGTTCATGCCTCCTAAGTCCAATGTGGAAGCTGGAGTGGCGACCAGCAGATCATCGCAGCAGGTGGTGGTGTTGCCGCCGAAGAGGACATCAATTGGATCATTAATGTAATTGTAATTGTTATTGTTATTGTTCATAACAGGTGTGCCAGGGGGAGGAGCGGGATGCGTATCGCCGCACGCAGTTTTGAAGGAGATTGTGGCCTGCGCCGCAGCTGGTGGAAGCACCGTCGTCGTGTTAATAACTAGATTGTCGTCTAAGGAAATTATATTATTTGTTGATATGCAGCTGCTGGTGGTGGGGAACGTGGAGGAATTCATAACCATCGCCGCCGTCGTCGTCGTTGTAGACTTATTGGTGTAGTAGTAGTAGTTGTTGTTGGCGGTAGATGAAGCAGCAGCAGCAGCATATTGATGATGACGGTGGGTGTAGGTGGCCGCCGCAGCAGAAGAAGAAGAAGAAGAAGAAGAAGAAGAAGAAGAAGAAGGGAGGAGGTAGTGAGTGTTGGGATCGAGGCCCTGAGCAAGGAGCTTCTTCTTGATGCAGGAATTCCAGAAGTTCTTGACCTCGTTGTCGGTGCGGCCGGGGAGGTGCTTGGCGATCTGGGCCCAGCGGTTGCCCAGGATGCGGTGGACGTCAATGATAGTCCGCTCCTCCTGCTCCGTGAAGGACCCCCGCTTCAGGTCCGGCCGCAGGTAGTTTATCCACCTCAGTCTGCAGCTCTTGCCGCACCGTTGCAAGCCTAGTCGGCGGCCGCTCGGTCAGTCCAGTCTCATTCATTGATTGTTGTTATGTATGTATGTATGTATTATGTATATAGTAGTACTAACTGATACTTGGTACAAGTAGAAGTAGAATGGCCATTAATAACCGTCAGCATTACCTGCTAATTTAGGGACAGAACTCCAGCAGCCGTGGCCATAGACAGTGATATGCCTGACGAGCTTGTCGTCCTCCTCCGGTGACCACAGCCCCCTCTTCACTTTCTGCTTGCTGCAGCAGTGATGCCCCATCACCGTCACCATCAACAAGTAAGAGCAAGAGCAAGTGCCAGTAAGTGGCCAGGCCGGCCGGCTCGCTACCCTTGTAATATTATTTATAGTAGTAGTAGTAGTACGTGCGTAGTAACAGAGCTGGCTAGCTAACTTCCTCCGATCGACTATATCACGCACGCACTCTGCTGTCTTATTAATTTCTCCAAGTTAATTAGTTTCAACTTTCCCTTTGTTTAATCGTGTGATAATAGTAGTATATTCCTATTTCCTAATAAAAGGAGAAGTGGAAGAGGTGTTTCCCCTAGTTTTGGTAATGCCTGTGCGTATCCGTGCGCGATATTTATTGGTGAAGTGTACGAAATTGTATACTCTTCTGTATAAATAAACAACATATATAAATATCTCTCTCTGTCGTGTGTGTGTGTGTGTGTGTCTGTTATATATATATAATAATGGTTGATCGATCATGAATCAATCAATCAATCTATCTTAATTAGCAGCGCTCTTCATATATCATGTCTTAATTTGACAAGTAATGGGTTTGGGCCCCTCCCTTGTTATTCATTAATTAATTTGTTAGTTAATTAATTGTGGAGACTGCAAGCATACAATTAAGATTAAGATCGTGTTCGTGGTCCTCTGTCGTCTTTTATCTCTCTATCATTGCCTAGCTCCGTTACCCACTCTAATGGATCTTCCTTCTCTACTAGCTACTATTATTATTATTATTATTATTATAATTTACTTGTTAAAATCATTACTTAGCTTCCAATCTCGTATCGTCATCACGTTTTAATTTGCCCATAAACTGTTTCTTGTAATCAATGCTACAATACACACACACTCACCCCCCAAACGAACGTTATATATATATTCAATCATTCATTCATTCATTCATTAGATAGTTCATATCCGTAGTCATAGACGACCATATGTATATGTAGTGACAGTCCCTTTAATTTGTACAACCCGCTTAATCAATTCAGCGTCACTGCCCGATCGATCGAAATATGCTGCTTAGTTATCACACGCGTATGTATGTATGTAAGTAATCGATTGATCGATCGTGAGACGAGATATTAAAGTGGGCGGGTACGTAGCTACAGATCAGAAGGGAGGGAACATAATGTGGAGGGACGGACGATATCTCAGCCAAGTGTTGGGCAACGAGTAGCTAGCTACTAATTGAGTGAATGAATGATCGATGGCTCTGAAATTGACTATATTAATTAATCGGTAGAGGGGGAAGATCAAACCAAAGAAAGAAAGGATGGATGGAAAGGAAGAAGGTGTTTTCAAGCTAAAGAAAACAATAATATATATATATATATATATAGAGCACACTAAAATTAGTTTGTGTTATTAATTTCTTATCAAATCCAACTGCGTGTGTAAGAAGCTGCATTGCTTAGAGATGAATTAATAATTAATTTAATGTAATCCATTAGCATATGCATTGCTTTTCCACACGACACTTCCAATAAACACTAGGACTACTATAATTAATTAATTAAACAGAGCTGTGTGGTGTAGAGTAGTGCAGTGCAGTGCAGTGCAGCAAAACTCCTTTTCGTGTCTCCATCATTACTAATTCAGAATGCATGTCTCTAAATATATTCTTCTGATCTGCCCTAAACCTAAATCCGTATTGAAAGGTAACTTTTCTTCTCTTGGGCCTGCATCAGGTGTGATGGGCTTGGCCCATGTTATTCCCTTATCGGGCCCACATGCATATTTCATATTGTATCGTCCGTCCGTCCATCGCTCTCTCTTCCTTTCACGGTTCACCATCCATCATGACATCCGTCCGTCCGTCCGTCCGTCCGTCCACCCACTGCTTGCCTCTACTTCATACACATTCTGTTCACGAGTACGCTACTCACATTCATTTTATTCCTCTATTCTACCATCTTCTACCTCATGCAGGTTACTCCTCCTTTTTCTAACAATCAGCCAATGTTTTGCTTTGCTTTGCTTTGCTTATTATTACGCGAGTGTGTTCAAGGTATGATTAATATATTTTTCCACTCAAGTCGTGCATACTACTTGCTTGCATGTTTCTCACATTACATTACACTACTCTCCTCTCATCTTGTTGGTATTGCTGCTGATCTAAGCATTTATTATTATTATTGCTAATCAAACAAAGACCAAAAAAAAAAAAAAAAAACAACAACAAATGTAAAACCTAGCAAGCGCTGGCGGCATTCATTCATACATTTGATCAAAAATAATTACAAAACTCCGATGAAACAAAAAATAAAAAAACATAAAATTAGAAAACTGTTGCAGGCCAAGCTAATTGCCCATTGTCTCTCTGTGTGTGTGTTTGTGTTGTGCTATTCTCTCTAATCAGCAATTCTTTGAAATTTGACATTTCCCTCATCCAACACCATCAGGTGCTTCCTCTTTTTTGACAGCTTGGCAGAGGAATAGTCTGCTGCGAACTGGGCAGCCGTCCTCGCACGCAACTCCTCCAGGCTTTCGCCTTCCTTGGCCCTCTCCAGGACCTGCAATGCAATGCGATGCAATCAAGAGCAACCAATCGCATTACAGCATGCATATCCCCAAACACCGCACCAGCTTCTTATTACTCATCACCATCACCATCACCATCCATCCCAACCAACCTATGCATGCACACATACGTACATACCATACATATCTATCTTATACATACCAGGTGACGCCCATAGAGATGAGTGCTTGATAAGGCTTCCAGTGCATTCTGAGCTTCTTGCTTTGTAGCATACTCTACGAATGCAAATCCTCTATGGCTCCCAAACCTCATTGGCAACCTTATACTTTTTATCTGCACCACTCGTATGCAGGGAAAAACTTTCAAATTTTTACAAGGAAAAACGTCCATGTTACTGAATCAAGGCCATGCAACTTCACAGAGTCAAGTCCTTTTATTTAATTATTCACTGTATGTTACAAAATGGCAGAGTAGCAATGCCGAAACAATTTCCCTAACTTGAGCTTAATAAAAACAACTCCGTCATAACATTCAAAGGTTTGGTGATAATGGAAGAACTACAAACAACAAAACAGGCCAGTAACAATTTGTGCAAGGCAATGAGTATTAAGAAATATGGATTACCATATGCATTGTGTCAAAAAGAGTATGTACCTGACCAAATGGACTAAACAACTGTCTTAGATCCTTTTCTGTTGCCTCAAAAGCTACATTTCTTACAATCAATTTTATTGAACTCCTGTCATTTTCAATTCTCTTAGGTAATGATCCATCCTTCTTTGCACGACAAAGTTGCAGAACAAGGGCATGCCCATCCAAAACAGTTCCCTGAAGAAACAATGAAATTGGATAAAACATGAATCTAAAAGTAAGCCACAATTTACACAAGCAATCCCTTGAAAGGAACTTACAGACAAAGGAGAACACAAGCAATACCTGCAGGTCCCTGCAAACACTTATTGCAGTATCTACAGAATCAAACTCTATAAAGCCAAATCCCATCGACACATTTTTCCCATTCTTTAGATGCTTCTTCACCTGTGACAGAACATCCATTTGTGTGCATAAGACAAAGAAGGTTGAAACTTTATAGAGATATGCAATGTAAAACTTATCAGAGACAAGAAACAATACCCTGACGCTTAGTATCTTCCTTCCCTTCAGGTGCCCAGCAAAATGCTTCTGAATACTCTCTTCGGATGTTTTGAAGTTGAGATTCTTGACATATAAAGACCGTGACTGTAGCACAAACATATCAGAACTACTATACACCAAAAGTACATACCAGATATGAAATAAATAAATAAATAAATCATCAAACAATCAGGAAAAACAGACTAGATGGCCACTCATGAACACACATATTTCCCTTCCATTCTTTGCACATTGAGTGTGTGGTGGGCTCATGACTCTAACAAGAAGTTGTACAGCAGTTAACACAAACAACATATGCAATCAATCACCAGAACATATTTCAGATCTAATATATAGCACTATAAGTTAGAGGCCTGCCACATGTTAATATGATCAGATCAAGCTTCTATAGGGTATGAAGCAATTCTCATCTCTCTCATTGTTTAAAAACCTAAGATGATAATTCTTGAAATTATAGTTTGGGTTATATATAAATCTATGAAAGTTTATTCCAATCCAGTGTATATTGGAATCTCCATGTGTTAGAGAAGTTGCCAAGGATATATAAAGGGTTCAAGCGTTCAGTTCTGCCACAAAAATCATGCCAAGTCCTCAGAATATCTGCTGTGCTATTTGATAAATATCCATGTTCTTTTTTCGTTTATTTTTATTTTTTCCCTACAAACTATCTGCCATCTGTTGAGTATCTGCAAAACTTGCTGATACAATCCCATCACCCTCTAAAACAGTCCAATAGCAGGGCAAGCTTGAGGCAGATGGCGAATCCCATACCCCTCTACCCTCACACAGGAACCTAGAAGTAAAATTACTTAATGGGGAATTGAGCTTACCAAGGCAAAACATTACAATGTTGATTGCCTTTAGCTCAATTATAACAAGAACTAAAGATTGCCCCAATAAAAACTACCTCAATTCTATCAGGGTCAACATCTGCATCTGTTAGTTCCTCCCTTTGTTGCTCTAGCAAAGCTCTCTTGATATCAAGTTCACCCATCACTGTGTTATCCCCAACAGGTGAACTTTCACAGATAATATTATCAGGAGCCCATTCCAAATACAGTGGTGCATCCCTGTCATTATAAAGATAATAAATCAATCTCGATAAATCAGCTACAGCCAAAACAATATGAAGCTCAAGTCAAGAAATGCAAAATGGAATTAGAACCACCAAAATCTTAAATTTGTGAACATATTAATTTCCAACAAATGAAAGGTTAGAAATAAAGTCCAAAATGCATTAATCTACAAAATTTCAAGGGTCCACACAAAAAAACCAGCACAAAAGATATGCTAGAAAATGAACAATCGTGTGCAAACACAAAGTTCCCATTCCCATTTATAAGAGTCTAGATTACGGACTTATGCAACCAAAAGCAATCTAATGAGATGCCGTTAGTCAATAAAACCAGCAATATAAATAATTAAATTCATTTTTGGTACAGCTGCCAACTCATAGTCAATAACTCCAATACAGCAAAACATATAGCATTAGTATTTTGACTGAAATATACCCAAAAAAAAAAACGTCATGCAAATTTTATAAATAGGTCAACTTACTTATAACGCTTGTAGGCTAAACCTCTGAATGCTGCACGGGCTTCAGCAGGTTCAAGGAAGATAACCTGAAAATAAAGTTTTTCTTATGCAAGTGTATAATCCAAAACTATTCATACGTTGATAATCATAATCAGATCATGTTACTGCACATCTGCATTGACGTTTAATATAGAAAAACATGATATGTGTGCAAAAAATATATCATCGGACAAAAGGACAATGTAGCCACATTCAAATGGTGCATAAAGAATGAACATCAGATGCACCATGCAAATACTAACTTATCATTCGTAAGAGTTTAAATTACTTGGACTGAAATGCAAAGTTTTTGCATCAACTTATCGCAACTGCTGGATGTGACATTGCTCTTGAAGAGCAGGACATCAAACACCCAAAATAGTTAAGGCTCCAATTATATTAAAGCACTGCTGATTTTAATAATGACCAGCCCTGTTGTCAGGTATACTCATCAAAAACCATTTTTGAGCTTCATGAGCAAATTAAATGCAGAACAGTTTAAGCAGCTACTAGAGTCAAAAGACTTTGCAGGTTCAGATTTGTACCATGCATGGCACAAATTCTGCACACTGCTCAATGACACTAAAAACCATTTTTATATACTGTACAGCACCAATCTCCTACAACCAAACACAGTAGAAAGAGAGATGGAGTCAAAGGACATGAACATCCATTATGTCAAAAACAATCTGTGTAAATAATAATATGATGAACACACTTAAAATTTAAGTCATCAGCAATATGCAATTGCAAGCAGAATGAACAACATGCAGCATTTTAATGTAGTCACAGATAAGGCCATGGTAAAAAATAAAACCGAAGAATGAAAAAGAATCAATACCACAGCCAAGGTTTTGGTAGGGGGTAAAATGATCTTTTCCAAGCTGCCAAATTTTCCGAACATATTCGATAAGTCACTTTCAGATGAACCATATGGTAAATTCTTCACTAATATGATATGGCTGCTTCTCTTCAGACCATCAGTTTTACCAGCAGCAAGTTCCTCAAATAAGGAAACATTAACCCCAGCACTTGATAGAGCATTTTTTGTTTCAGCAAGCACTTGAGTCTCCCCCAAGGCAATTCTCACAGCAAGATCATCAGATTCTCTATCTAACAGTTCACTTTTACTGACGCCAAATTTACGTGCAATGTTTTCCACAACCTAAAAGATGATGAAACAGCAGAAAGAACAGTTACTAGCTAAGATTAGAGCTTGTCAGCTTGAAAGTTCATACGGTTAGACCCATCTGTAAAAAACAGACAGGTGTTATAGCCCATGCATTTGATCTCAGGTGATAACTAGACATTTCATGTTAGTAACTTACTCCAACGGAAATGAAATACTTAAAAAGTACCATAGTTGTCAATCACGGATAGCGGTGTGGCCGCTATTTAAATATTTAAAAATATATATATAAATTATTATATATACAAAATTATAACAAAAATACATAAGAAAAATTTATAAATTAATTTCATAATTATCATCCAAACCAATAAAATGTCAAAATATATATGATCATAACTATTAGATGGTTATATAAGAAATAACAATTAAATCACTATTGAATGATATATATATATATATCAAAGCTAATCAGATTCAAAATCTGATAAAAAATTTCTTCCTCATTTTCATCATCGTCATTGCTTAATTACTTTTGTCTATAATCATCTTCTTCATTCCCATCCATTTATTCAATTGTATGTTCGTCACATTATATAATATCATTTCCCTTTTTAAAGCTAAAGGTACCTATAGCTTTCTCTCTCATTGATGTATTGATGTTTGTATTTTAGTATAGATAGCAAACCTAATAGCATCAACAACATTTCCACTAGTCAAATTATCATTGTCAAAGACTAATCATCCGCAATTATCAACTTCTTTAATTAATCACTCATTGGAATCATTCAAAACAATAGGACCAATCACATCATTGCTATCATAATGATCTAACAAATTTTGGTTATACTTGATATAAATCAAATCTTGCAACTTTTGGTTTTCTAATTTGTTTATTTTTTCGGAATGAATCTAAAAATTTAGTTAAGATTTAAGATAAATGTTTTTTTTGTCTATATTATAATAAAAAAAAGTATATTTTATATGTTAAAGTTGATTTCAATTATTTATATGTTAAAAAATAATCCAATAAGCTACAATAGCGGTATGGCGTAATGTAGCGGAGTGCCACTACAGGCCACTACACCGCTATTGCGTAAACTCGGAATTGTGGAGCGGCCGTAGCAGCAGAGTGCCTTTCCGCTACGCTATGCTGCTATTGCGCTGCTATAGCGTGCTATTGACAACTATGCAAAGTACCAAAGCTAGTTAATATGTTGAAATTCAAAAGGACAAATGATCCAGCTATAAGCCAGTTATATGCTTGATTTTCAAGTAAAATCAGTAAGTTCCTTGATGTCATGAGATATTGCAACCTTTCAAGCACCAATGACCTCTCTAACTTACAGTATCTGGGCGCATAAATAAACTATTCCAAGCCCGAGAATTTCCAGTTGCCTCTGATGCCTTCCTTTCTGCTTCTTTCTGTTGCTTAAATGTTTTTGAAGATAATCTAAAAGCATCATTGGTCCTGAAAAATGAAATCATGAATCAACATAAAATGTGATACTTAAAAATCACGAGAATAGACATACTCTTTGACAATAGACTGTTTTTTCGGCTTCGCAGGCATGACATGTAATAATCTTCCCTGAAATATTGAGCAGTCCATCTCCTTTATTGCCCTGAAAGGGAAAGGAACATGATGAAATCAAGATGGCAAAATATAATATAAGAGAAACAGGATTTTAGCATCTGCACCAAATGCTAAAATATCTCAATGTAAAGACAAACAGCGCATTTTTAGAAAAAGCATTTAACATGTACATCTGTACGAGTCCGATCAATATATCACCATGATGTCATAGAATTAAAGTATTTGGCTAAAAGAAAACATATGCACCACAGGTGCAAATAAATCCCATATTAATCCACTTCATTCTTCATCTAGACTTTCATTAGACTCACTTTTTTCCAAAACACACCCATCAAACCAAGAAATCATGCAGTATGGATAGAAAATCAAAGGTGCTCTTTGAAGTTTAGATAAACGTTACCATGCAAATTTATAACTCTAGGTTGAAAAATAATACCTGGAAGCAGATTCTGGGAGAGTAAAGAGAATATAAGCAATTCCCTTGGAGCGTTTAGTATCCTTATCAATTACAATGTGAACATGAGAGATTGCCCCATATTTGCTAAAGTAGTCTTCAAGCTCCTCCTCACTGCATACATGAGAAAAGTAGGTTTAAAAATAATGCACGTGAGAAGAATAAAAGATAACAAAAGCATATGATAGACTTATACACCAATCACTTATAGAGACATGCACACATCATAAGGATTAAGCCATGCATTGAGACACAGATATCCCTATACAGATGTAGTGAATATTATGGTTCATACGTCGCAGTGTAGGGAAGGTTACGAATGAAGAGACGACCAAGTTCTTGGGCCTCATCATTCTCATCTTTAGCTGTGTCACTTTTTCCAGAGGCTATAGATGGGCCATGGTCAGCCTGCCCTCTGGATGTGTCAAGTCCAAGTATATCCTCACCAGGACAATGATTAGTATTGCTCTCAGGCTCAATGCTGTCATCAATATCATCATCGTGACTGTTGTCAATCCCAGCAGTGTTTCCCTCATCATCACTATTCTCTGCATCGGACCAATTTGTTTTGATCCGACTCCTAAAGTAGTCCATGTCAGATGCAGCTTCGTCATTAACCAAAGCATTAGAATTATCTGCTTCTTGCTCCTCAGATAGAACACTTCCTTCTTCCTTGATTTCCTGGAAATCAGCATCCTCCCCAACCAATACACTACCATGGCCTTTCGCTATTTGGATTTGATCATCGTTTGCTAAATGGCTTTGATCTAATGAAGGAGCTATAGAGGTGTCATTTGCCCACAATTTTGATCTGTTACGATGCTGCATAACCTCAAGAAACTCTTGAAGCTGAGGGTCATGATTGCCATCATCCATCTTACTCCTCTCAATCTTCTCTACCACAAGTGCAGCTTTAGAAGCATTAGACCTGGCTAAACTTTTCACCTCTGCAGAAGAATTCTCTTTTTTCATTGAGTGTCGACTCCAAGGGCGTGGAAGTGCAGGATCTCCAAACTTTCGAGCAACCTACACATGTAGATTTATGGGGTTGCTCATGTTGCTTTAAAAATTAATAATAATGTTTTGATACTTTGGTGTTCTCTGGTAAAACAAAAATTAAAATTAAAGGAGGGAGAGAGAGAGAGAGAGAGCACTGATTTATCAGCCCAAAGCCTTCAATAGCCAACTCATAGATAATATGAATTGATTGATTTGTTTTTTTTTTTAAAAAAAAAAAGAAAAGCTCACAAATAAAATCAATCACCACAATACATTATAATTTTTTATCGACAAGCACTTTTCACTAATCATAGAGCCCCAATGGAGGGGGTGCTTGTAAGAATAAACAAAAGTGGAACCACAGAGTAATCTATTTAAGTTAAAAGTAAAACAAGGGAAAACTTATGGCAAAAGGACACAAGTAAATATTGGTTATAGGGTGCATAGGTGGAGGAAAATCATTCTATATACAGAAATCACAATTTTGGGCTTCAACAAATGATATCATTTGAAAGCATCATAGAAAGTGCTTCTACAAAATGAACAGTTACGAATTTTTGGTGGCTGTGAGGGAGAACAAACAAAATTTTAAAAGCAAACAAAGTTAAGTCTCTTTGTTGTAACAGAAACTCAACAAAGCAAGCATAAAAACTACATGTTTCCTGGCACTTCAAGTTTCCCCTCTCCATATAAAACGTTAAAAGGTAACAAATAAGTTGCAAATCTTGTGAAGATTGAAATCTAATACGCAAATGCAAGGAAAAAGGAAGTAACTAACTAGGACAGACCTCACAAGTAATTTTGGAAGTGTCCATAAAAGAGTTGTTGAAGTACTTTATGGCTTCATCAGCTTCATGTTCCGTCCTAAATCCCACGAAGCCAAATTGCCTGCTCTTCCCGTCCCTGAAGGAATAGTAAAATACAGTATAACCGACACTTAGCAATTTCAATAAGGCATTTGGAGAAAGAAAAGAGTGAGAGAAATAAATTATGAAAATTGTAGATGTCTATAAATAGGCATAATATACAGACTCGGTAGACTTAAACCTAATGGATAAAACTAAAATATATAACAACTAAATCCAATCTAAAACTAAATAACTAAAATACTCAACATCCCCACTAACTCAAACGGTCCGGCACAAGAGAGATCGAAGATAATGAAGCCACAATCATCCATCATAAGAATCAGAGTCGAAAACAACAGTACTCTCGATAGAATAAAAAATAACAAACTCTCGATGGAATCGAAAATAAAGGCACTTTCATCGAAAATAATAGGACTCTCAAGAACTGGCTCTGGTCGCTGACAACCGCAAACATGACTTCAATTGTCCACAAAATCAAAACTCAAAACAAATTAAAAACAAAGACTATAAGACTAGAAATTATAGGCAAGATCTCAAAATTGGAATAACTCCTGGTACGTTCTAGGTTATGTAGCCGACGGACGTAGGTTAGTAGGTAGAAGAAAATTAGCTCTGATACATATGAAAAATAAATTATAAAATTATTCATAACTAAAATAGAAGCCCTAGATAAAAACCAAAATATAAAAAACTAAATCCAATATAACTAAAATACTCAACAGAAATTATTACTTGGTGCGCATAAGTTTAGCATCCGTAACTTCGCCCTTTTTGGAGAAGAATTCTCTGAGGCGATCCTCCGCTACATACTTTGGCAAGTTTTTCACACAAATTCGTGACCTTGAAAAGGAAATTAGGATAGTGATGAAAAAAGAAAAGAATGCTAAAACCAAAACAAAAAACACCAATGAGCACGTACATGGTCGGCGTGCTGTGGGGAAAGAGCAGAGTAAAATTCTTGAGATGGTATTACATACAATCAATCCAAGAGGCGACCCTTTCGGGATTCGGGGCGGTGGCGGGGAAGGACAGCGGAGAGGGATTGAATGAATAATAATTGAACCAAAGATTACCCTAGGCCTAATATAGTCTACTCTATTAGGAGTATGTAGCGAAGGAGGCGAAGAAGAGGTTCTTTACTTTTTAACGTTCTTTGTTTACTTGTAAGTTTCAACCCCCATTGTCTTTAGCAGTAGTATTTTATGCTCCTTCTTTCATTAAAAAAAAAAAAAAAAGAAAAAAAAATTAATTTATCCTCGCTTTTCGATTGTTATTATATTTATTTTAGTTTTTTTATAAAAAACTATTTTTTTATATGTTTTTTTACTTTAAAAAAATATTTATATTTTTATTTACTTTAAGATGGTTAAATTAACCTACTTTCGACATAAAGAGTATTTAATTTTGAATTATTATAAAAAATATATTTATTCGTACATTTTTTTACAAATAATAGTAAAAAATAACAATCATTACAAATTTTTAATAAAATTAATGTCTAAATATCTTAATTAATTTATTTATATATATAGTATATAATAGTAATATACTATAAATAATATTTATTATTAATAATATATTTTAATTAACATATTGATTATATAAATTATAATAATACTATATACTAATATTTATAATAATTTTAAAATATTAAATTCATTAATAATTACAAACATCCATGATACATTATATGTGATGGGCGTGTATTATTTATTTATGTATTGTTTGTTTGTATTTTTCATGTGACCTAAAAATCTGCATTCGCTATAAAAAGTGCATATTGAATAAATTTTCGGCTGAATTAGGCCCCGACAAGTAGTACCGCTGCCTGCTGTATTTGTGGTTGATGGCTTGGCTGAGGACCAAAATAAACGAGGTGGGGGAGCTTTGTTACCGCTGCACTGCAAGGGAGTACTAGTAGTAAACTCTTTTGATCAGTTTGGTCGTCTTCTTCATCTTGTTCTTGTATGAGATTGAATGAATGAATGAATCTTCTTCATCTTGTTCTTGTATGAGATTGAATGAATGAATGAATCGCTTGTATTTGTTTGCTGCTTTGTTAATATCAATCAATGGATCAGATACCCACGGGGCACCAAGAAACAGCAACCAGACCCTCTCAAAGTGACAAGGAGAAGCACCAGCACCGGGGCAGGGTGAATGATCCAATTACCAGTACCATTACCATTACCATTACCCGTCGCCATTCTCTCTTTCCATTAACCCCTGCCTGTGTGTATTGTGCGGGGATAACAGGTTTACATGGGACAAATGCTGCTGGTTTGTACAAGTTGTGCTAAAAAATAATGCAGCAGCCGGAAGCACTCTGAGTGGGCAATCCGGTGCAAGTCTTGAAAGCTGCTGTCTCCTATGCAGATTGCCTCATCTAATCTGATCTAATCTAACCTAAACTAAACTAAACTACTATCCTTGTTTGTCACGATGCTGCCATCTTCATCATCATGTGTTGTATTATGAGTTTGCACTGCCCTGCCTATTTTGATTTTCAATTATTCAGATGATGACTGGCAACAACCACTTATATCACCCATTCCACAGCAGCCCAAGAAGAAATCCACACTACTCTCCAAACCATAAGCATAAGTTAAACAACAAAATCATTTTCCCCATTTCGCTTCTCTCCAAACACAAACAATCTAATATTACATTTCGTGAGCCAAGCCACTAGCCTTCCCTCAACAAATGGCTACAAGATTTTTTGCTTCAGTCAGCAACAACTAGCACGAGACATTATTGAGCCAATTATATAGCCTGGCGAAGCATCTGCTGAAGTTGAATCACTTGCTGCTGCTGGTCTGGCGGCAGGGAATTTAATTGCTCCGGGGTCAGGTTCAACACTTGCTGCAGCAAGGTTGAATCCAGATTCGAGGGAACTTGCATCTGTCATCAATGAACAAGTCCTGTCTTAGATATCAAATCACACAGTAAGCCTGTTGAAACGTGATTAAGAGTACACCTTTCACTGAATTCATATAAATGCACGGCTGTAGACATGTAGAGCCTTGCCAAAAATAAATTAATAAAAATGTCCCACACATTATTGCCTCTGAAATTAAAAGCCCTAGAAGCTTCTAAGTTGGTCACTGGAACCAAAATAATACATATGAAGCACAGAAAGCAGAGTTACGACAGTTTCAATGAAGAAAGCCACTGAAATGCAGGGAAGAACTACATAATATATATATATATAGCAGGAGTTGCAAGAAGGATGCATCAAACTACCCTACGCATATGTAGTATTTAAGAAAAGGGAGTATAATACACAGTGCAGTGTATCCTACGAATACATGACTTCTATTTTCATCTAAAATGCATATCAACTCATGCCATGAACACAAGGAATAATAATTTCATCCAGATTAAAATAGGTAATCAACCAGGCCATTTCACAACCTATACCTTACCTTATACATTATGAGCAGAAGATAATGAAAGGGAGACAAGGTCCTAACTCAATCATAAGACAATAACTACAAAAGACAAAAGTGCATAAACAATCAGCAATATAACTTCCAAGGATTCAAGCACACCGGTATATCTAGCTTTGAGGGACAAATTTTGCTATAATGTTACCTACTACACTCAAATGTGTCATTTTACAAATAACAGAGAGCATGATAATAGGGGTTTAATCCAGTCACAACACAGATATCAAACTAACTTGAATAATTTGGTATATTTAGCCATCAAATCCGAACACACATTAAAAATATGAAGCACAATCACTAGAAAGGCTACTGACAAGGATATTTGCAAAAACAACTACCTGAATAGCTTTTTTCTCAGATTTTTGAGCTTCTGCTGCATTGGGAGCTTGTCTTTCTGAAACACCCAAAGATAGAAATGGCGTGGCAGGAGTAGCTACAGTTGCAACATGTGAGAAAGGAGAAGCCTTTTCATCATTTAATTTTGCCATTTTTGACATCCGATCCATTTGATCTATGCCATCACCGGTCATTCTTGTTTTCCCAGGGAAAGTTAATGTATTCCCTTTCAGATCCATATTCTCTGGCATGGGAGAGGATATTGAGGAGCTAGGCTGTAACCAGAAATAGGGATTGCACAAGTATTGCCAAACTTTATCAAGATTGAAAATCCATTTCACATTAGCATTAGCATTCAAGTATAAATAAGATCACAATTTATTTTAATTGATGTTGAGATATCAAAACCTAAATCCATTATTTCTGAGTCAAAAAGCACATTTCAGTGCAAGAAAGTGCACCCACATAATATTTAATAAGCAAGCACTAAATCACAAAAAATTATGCAGCCATGCTATGCCAAAAGTCAAATTTTATGTTTAAACTCTTAGCATATATAAACATCTTAAGTGCAGTTTGAGACCTGAAATCCAGTAGCCGAGAAATGTGCTGCCTTAAGCACAGAGGGATGTGAATCACCATCTTGCAATATTGGCAGATCGTTATGGCCTGAATTAATATGGAGAACAGAAGGAATGCTGTGTTAGTTGATTGAAATGTGTTGTAAATGGATAGACAGTCCAACTGAGACAATGGATGAAACACCAGATTGTGTAGCAATTCACCTTGGTTTAGAATTTGGTTCGGTAGTTGCGGGTTTTGAATTTGAGAATGTGTAGGGAATAGATGAAGTGCTGGATATTGTTTTTGTACAGCAGTAGACACTTGGTTTTCATGTACAGAAGGCAGATAGCTCAATTGAGTTTTGTTCTGTGGAAGTGGAGGTAGTCCAGGCAGACTTTGAGAATTCTGCACTGAAGGCTGCACCAGTTGACCCACAGCTTGCTGAATGTTTGGCATCTGCAACTGCATAGTTACAAGTATACTAAACTAGCTTGCAGAGAGATATAAAGGACGGAAGGAGATAGAAGGAACCAAAAACTTAGGATGGTCGGAACAAACCATTTGAGGAGACACTAAACCTAGCATAACCTGGGCCTGGGTTCAAATAAAAAAGAAAGTCAGTATAATAAGGATATTGATTTTCAAATGAAGAATGGATACAGAAAAACAACAATCTTCTCATATTGCCCTTAAAGATGGAAACTGTAACAAGATTTATGTAATTAAATGCTACAATACATAAATGTAACAAGAGAATGGCAGCAATGGCTTCAAATTATTCATAGCATCATTACAGGCTAATAAAAACCTGAAAAAGAGCTTTAGACAAGTTTGGTCTGGAAAGCAGGAGCTGACGTGCTTGTTCTTTATTCTGTGTAGCCATTGCCTGTCAAGATCATACATTGCAAAAAATCAAAACTTCACATCACGTATGTAGACTACATAAGGCATGCAGCCCTATCTCCGTGTTATCTTTTGTTCATGAAATCAAGTTTTATCAATCAAGGGATCTAGATTCATTGGAGTCAATCTATGCTTAATAATAGATTTAGCATTCCTTTACACTTGGCTTTGGTAGTTGATTTTCTTAAGAACAATTCTTAGTTGAGCCAGTTTAGGAATTGGACCAATTTAATACAATCATATGTTATTTCAGCCCCAATAAGATTAAAAGGCTAACCTTCAATTCAGAAAGAACCTCAGTCAACTGATTCCTTGACATTTTGGCCAAATAACGAGTCAGGGGATCAGAACCTGGTAAAGAGTGAGAGTTCATGCCGATCTGATTTGATGCGCTAGAAATCTGAGCAGATCCAAGAGCCCCTGCCATGACAGTTGAAGCAGCCATTGCAACGGAATCGCCTATTGGCTGGTGAAGGTTGGAATGTCCAAGGCCAGCTGGACCCCCAAACTGCTTTTGAGATTCTACATTGGAGCATTGTATACATATATTGAACACCAAAAAGCTTAATTTCAAAAAAAATTGCAAACTATGTATTGAAAAAGATACTGTTTCATGAGCTTTAATCTTCAGGAAATCAAAACATTTAACTTACCAAGATTTGGGGCAACACCAGGGCCACCTCTTCCCTGCAAGGGAACACCTTGTGAATAAGCATTGAATAGGGCCGCTGTCAAAATGTGGTTGGGACTCAATGGATATGAATCAAATGATTCACACCAAGTGGAAAGCATACAACATGTTATGTTGATCACCTGATTGCATTAAAAGCCAGGCTGGTTACTTATTTACCTGTTCACGATTCCTGTCAGAGTTCTTGTCATTCTCAGCAAAATCAACTCTTAGCTGTCTACCATTTATCTCATAACCCTGAAGATTTCGGCGGGCACTTAGAGCTGTCTCTTCATCCTTGTACTCACAGAAGCCATAACCCTTTGGTTTTCCAGTTTCTCTATCTACAACCAATCTGAAATAATTACAAAGATGTAAGCTTACTTATGAATGAACAAGTAAGAAAATCATATTACAACTGAAATCACGCCGTGAAAATATGAGCGAACATGTACTAAAAATAAGTAAATAATTTGTTATATGCCATATCATCTCAAGGGTGCATTGTTATGGCTATAAAAACATTCATTAGTAAACTGCAATGTTAAAGTATCTCACATCTTGAATGGAATTGTGAGAAATAATGCATACAATAGTAACACACCTGAATTAAACAAATGTTCACATCGGTATGTTAAGTGACTAGCAGTGATAAGCTACAATATACATTCCAATAAATTGCTTCCCTTATGGTGGAAAAATGCTCTCTATATTGAAAAAAAAAATAATAATAATCTCCTTCAAAATGCCATTGTGCACCTTGAGCACCTTAACACTTAATTTAGCAAATAGTTTGTATACAAGTGCATGAAAAAATGTCCTAGATTCCTAGTTATGACTTAATACAGCTACCTGCATTAGATTCATCACAAAAATGGTGGACCATGTTCAGAGACCTTCGTCTCGTACAAAACAAACGACTCTTAAGTTTGAAAGCCAAGTAACAGCCAACCAGGCACTACCACAGAGACTGCTGCAGTATGAGTACTTGGTTGTTGAAGTTCAGGGAACAAGCCTTTGGTTCCTATAATCTCAGTAAAAGAAAATAAAGCTAAAACAGATTTAGAAGAACAGCTGAACTCGCCTGAAGGAAACAACCGGGCCAACCTCCTCGCATATTTGAATAAGCTGCTCTTCAGTAGCGTCATAAGGTATATTACCGACTGTATACATACAACAACTTCATTAGTTAAAATAATACTCTACACCGGTCAGTAACCAGTGATACTGCGTATAGCCAATGGCAAAGAGAAGCGCTTTCTCGATACTGAACATATACCATAATCGTTGCCCTAAAAAAAAAAAAGAAAGAAAAATTGAAAACTGGGGCTTGACCAAAATTATGGCATCACACATTCATAGAATGAATGAGCGCGCGCGAGTCGTCTATACTGACCAAAAACGCATCGATGCTGAGATTGAGAATTGGCGGCCATATAAGGAGGAAGTGTCTCAGAAGATTAGGAAGAAACTAAAGTTACGGGTGAGGCGAGGCGGGATCAGGATTCATCTCCTTCTCCTTCTCCTTGGGGTTGTACAACTTTGCACGGTTATCTATCAGGTGCTTGACCCGATTCCGAGAGACAAAAGACAGTTGCTGGTGGATCAAAACTCTCACGATGCGCTAGCTAGGGAAGAAGACAGAGAGTACAGGCAGGCAGGCAGGTAGCTCGAGAAATCAAACCCAAAGCGCACCAACACAGCCACTAATGAGAAAACCAACCCACCCACCCTAGGAGTTGTTGAACGTGGTTGACGGATGTCCGCCTCGGTGGGTAACGGAGGAGGTAGGCCAGATTCAGGCTCAGGCTCAGGCTCTGGCCGGAGGAGGCGACTGGCAGGCAAAAGAGAAGGGCTACTAAAATACGAAGTCTCTCTCGCTCTCTTTCTTTCTATGATGGTGCGGGTCGGGAAAGAAGAAGGATCGGTCCTTTTTAATCACACAAATAATAATAATAATAGTTCCAAGTACGATGGCATTACAAGTGAAAATAATAAAGTAAAATAAAATTAACATACACCATTCTCCATATTGAAGCCAACGTATCTTCTGTGTTATATTTTAATTGTGAATATTTGTATTTTTTTAATATAAAAATATATAAAATAAAATATTTAGAAAATATTCTTTCTGTGGGATTAAAATTAAATTACTGTATAAATATGCGTATATACACCACCTTGCTATCGATCTGCTTCCATTGCGGCTGAGGCTCCTCCCTCCCCTGTCCTGTCCCGGCAGAATCAGGTGAGAAGATACCATTCATTAAATTCGTTAAAGAGCATATCAACATTCACACACCTTCTCGATCTCGATCTCAATTCCAATTCCACGAGATTCGCATCAACTTACGAATGAATGGATGAATGCTCGCTCCCTCACTCTCCTCTTGCAATCTCTGCCTGCTGTATCTATTAAATCTAGTAGTAACAGCATGTTTCAAACAACCCCCACCACATTCTATATATTACACATTCCTTTCAGTCAGTCCAACAGCAACAACTTTTGCCCCTCCTTAACAAAATAGCATTCTATATTTGGCCATTTGCCTCCTTCCTTACTGTACCGACCAAGAAGATTGATTATGAAGGCCTGCAACGCAGATACAACCTATACCACCACCACCACCACTATTATTTATTAGTAGACGGCGAGAAGTAGTGCAGAATATCCGAGCCCCTTCTCCGCGGCTGTTTCTGTGGGTGAAGCCAAGCGCGTACTTCTTCCTGAATTTCAAGCGGAAGTTCATTCAGGACTGTTGGGTCAATCTCCTCACTCTTGTAACTCCATCCGCCATCACCATTACTACTCCCACTCAAGGATGAGCTGTGGTTTTCTTGGACCAATTTTCCTGTCAATGTGACGTCACGGCAGCAATTACAACTTTGTTTTGTTCTGTTTGTTTGTGATCTCACCCCCTATCTCATGCGCAAGGAGCAATCATTGTATACAAAAATATACCTGAGACAGATGCTCCGATCCCTTGAAAAGTGCTACCAATACCATGAGGATGCTCGGAAGAAGAGCAAGAGCTCAGGCTCTGACTCTGACTACTGAAAAACTGTAAGATAGATGAAGATCCCTGACACAAGGAGGATTCATAAACAAATTTTAGTGCAATTTAATAGTAGTAGTCACATAAAACTCCAAAACATCAATACAGACATCTCAATTATAAAACTGTGTCGACCAGGGATAAGGTGATTCTTGCAGTAGCAGACAAATGCTTCAAATCCGTACACGCTAAGGAAAGAGTGAAGAAAGCCTAACCTTTTCAATCTTCCTTTTCTCTTTTCCTGATTTCCTATTAGGTACAGCTAGGTTCAGTTTTGGTTGATTTATTTTGGATTCCATGTCATTTTCACAACCTGAATTGGCATCATATAATAGGAATTAGGAGGACAGAGAGATTGAGAAAATTGTAAGCAAGATCAATGAAAACACAAGTCTGTATGGCAAGGGAACCACCAAAGCATTGCAACAAAGCTTCTTCAGCAAGCCCAGCTCTCTGGTGGTTCACTTCATAGATATGTGGAGCTTGATTATCGTCAAGTTTTAATGTTTCCTACCGACAGAATGAACAGAACAGATCAAACAAAGGGGTATAAACAACAATTCCTCAATGCCTGCTTTAATGGGGAAAAAACTGTTGCTTCCTCCAAAGTAAAAATTACTCAGACTTGAATTATTCACATAATTAGAGAGGGTAAAAAAAAAAAAAAAAAACACGCTAGAGCTGCATACCAACTAGGGGAATGAAAAGATCTGGACGGCTCCTACTGTTCATATGCCACTGAAGGTGTTTATGCAAAACAAGTTACATTAACAGGCTTTTCTATTACAAGCATAGCTTCCTAAAAGGTAAAATTACAGTCGGCAAGAATTGCAAAAAGCTTTCAGAACCAATTAATTTTTAATCGTCCAAGAGAGCACATATCCTTGTTAATTGTTAAAGACTCAATATAGCAATGAAGGATAACAAATGAATTAAAATTTCTGCATCAATCTCAACACCTAAAGACTTCAGTGTACTATTCAAAGACTTGCGTTACATACTTCAGCATCAGGCCCGCTTGTGTTCAAAATTGGTGCACAACACTCAGTCCCTGCTTCATTCTTGTAGGCATCTATCTTCAGATCAGCCAAATGCAAATCTACAAAGCTCCAAAACCAAATCAAACAAAAAGTAGTAACACATAATAAACTCATAGCCAAATACCTAAACATATAACCTGATGATTCACGGTCTTCAGTGCATGCATCACTTAACATATTTGATTGAGTGCTAGTCTGATTCTGGTTACAGAAATATTTCATGATTGAATGTGTCCCCTGCCAAAGCATTGAAATAAAAAAAAAAAGGAGAGAGAGAGAGAAGTGATGGTGGGACAAAATAACTAACAGTCTTTAATTAGGAGTAGCAAAATATTGTGCATCAAGCTTCAGTAGTAAGTAATAATAGATTCACATGTTCAATTGAATTGATGCAGAAGCAGCATATAAAAATAAAAATTCAATCCCATGAGGCTATTCTGGGAATAGAACCAAAGGTCACAAACTAATAAAGATCCTTTATATATATTAAAACCTAAACAAATAGTTCTGACCATTTGATGTTCTGCACTATGAGATATAAATTCAAATATTTCCATTGACACAGCTCAATGAAAATGAGGTTTAGGATAGGATTTACACATGATAGATACTATATCCCACATTCCATGGTGCAGAGATTAATGTAGGTTTGCTATAAAAATGAACTCCTTCAAGACACAAGGCAACAAGCAACCAGTTTAGCACAAAAGGTAGTCCCACTAAGAAATCAAATACACTTTGATACTCACAGATGGAATCACAACTATTTTACTGGCTGAAATGGAGAGACCAGTTATTGCCCATTCCTGATGCTTCCCAACATGGTAAACTCCAAGATATTCACCTAGCCCAGCATTGAAGAGACTCATGGCATCTTCTTGAAGCTTTGTGACCCCATACCTTAAAGGGCATGATTTTGAAGGAAACTTTTTTATTGATTCCGAGTCATTCATCTAAAAGACAAAGTGAAAATAGAAGCAATCATGAGTATCAATGGAAATATAGATATTTAGCAACAGCAGCAACAAACCTACTAATGAACACGATATGCACAGAAGGGAGCATGGAAGTACAATCAGTTTCTGAGAGCTACATCAAAACTTATATCTCAATCACATAAGACCTTGTATGCACTTGCATGCAGGGTAAGAGTGCGGGCAATGCGCTTATTCTGATTTAGATCAGAAAGAAGGCGATCACTTAATTCTTCACATAATTCATGAAGCCATTTTTTAACCTGCAATGGAAACTCTACATTTTAGTTCTAGGTGAAGGGACTTAATAATATGTTCAATTATTAAAAACATAAGGTTGTACAGATCCAATAAAAGACATACAGAAGATATAGTTTCAAGAGCCTGAGGTCCAGGAAATGTCTTTCCAGAACCATGACTCTTCGGAAGAAGGCGACCCTCAACTTCTAGCCCACATACCCCCCTTGCAATATTCCACAACCATGTGCTGCATATAGATGAATTTATAAAATAAAAAATACAAAATCAATAATTGCATAACACTTAAATGAAGGGTCACAAGAAAGATTCTAATACGGCAAGTTCATTCTTTTAAATGTCACATTATGTAGTCATATTCTGCAATAAATCCTAACAAATATAAAGGCATATAATTTTTCAAAATACCAGAGTGACATTCTAATAAGATTTCCCAACAGAATACGAGGATGTTTCAAATGCTATATGCAAGGGATATGATAAATGATATGCATATGAAGGATAGGTGGATAAAATCTATAATAATATCACTCCGATGATTTATATAGCATTAAAACAAGAAAATTAGCTTAAAACGGTCATAGCATTCCCATCTGGACAATCTTCCTGTAACAACCTAACATGAATGAATGTAAAAGAGAAGTTGAAACCCAGTATTGATGCCGTAGAGTTCTTGCAGCTTTTGATTTGAAAACTTCAGTAGATCCCCAACAGTATTCACACCAAGGTCAACTTGCAAAGAGGTTCCAAGCTTTCCCCCAAGCTGTTTCCTGTAATATATTTTAACTTTAGTTAGAGCTGACAAGAAATCAAGGTTTCAATAAGCTGCTAATTTATACACTATAAATTCACAACAGTTATGACCTTTTGATGTAATATACATGCATATATTACACATAAATATCTAAAAGAAGATAACCTTTACATTTTCTTTACAGGCAAGGATTCAAGCAATTTCTCAACAGATGACTGAGGCACAATAGTTTGCTGAGAGGGCTTGTTCATACCACTTGCTAGTTTGGCCAGCATCTGATTAACCAAATATAGAGTCAAAGAGAGTAAATCTAAAATACTGATGTATTCACCCCCAACAAAATTATTTGTCTCTATCTTGAATCATATTCTAGCTAACCTTATTATGAGCAATGCCAGCAGAACATGTAAATTCAGTCTCTTTCAGAACTTCAAGTCTCAGTTCTGCAACAATGAGAGCTCCACAAGCCAACAACTTATCACGATGATCAGCATCCTTCTTTAGAAACCATTCCCTCACACAATCCCTGGCATCAGCTCCATCCTAGGTTCCATTTGACCATTCAGTTGTAGTAATTATAACATTGTGCAACATTTACCCTCCAACTTGAGGGAGGGGTGCTAGCATATCATATCACGTCTTATTGAGTATGATTAGCATCTTCATAGTTTTGGTAGGATATACAGTTTATTTAGGCAGGTTGAATTGTATTCTTTTCTCCCTTCATATAAAGGGAGATCTATCTGCTCCACATTGTAAAATATGGGAGTAGAATTCATCTTTGTAATGAACTTCCATCCCAATAGTGCACGATACACATATTAAAACATTGTCTCAAAGATACCATTTGCATTGAGCCCATTAAACAAGTAAGCTGATGTAATCCACTTAACAGAATTCTGATAACAAAAGGAACAAGACTGCAAGTACTTAACAAATACACATAGGCACCAGAATAAGAACTACAAACTCCTGAAACATGATTTTGGTCACGCAATACTGGCTCACAGGTTAGAGTCTCTGGTATGCATGCATAATTGATCAAACAAGAGCATATATGAAAAAGAAAAGAGAGGGAATGTAATTTCACAAACAAACAGGAATTTCATGTTGCCAGGTTAAACCTTCTACAGCATTGAATATTTGTATATAAGAAATCTTTCAGTCATATGACCTAGTAGCCCAATGATCAGAGCAAGACACATAAACAATAGGAAGGCCTTACCAAATGAAGCCCCAATATATGAGACTTAGTGGCTTCCTCACCAATTACTTCCAATCTCTCAGGGGGATTATCTGCCAGCATGGTTTCTGCAGCTTCAGTAAGGTCCAGATAAACTTCATCTATAGAGGCACGTTCACATCGACCCTTTTTAGAAAGAACAGATACAACCTGCAAGTATTGCATTTTCATTGACGTCTAAAGATATGCATTAGTTTTCAGAATGACTTTTGCATGACAAGTGTATTATCTAGACCTCTGAACCAGCATTCCGATACACAGTCAAGTCTGCTTTACCACGGGCCACGGGAACTTGAACTAGCTGAATATCAGGACAAACTTTCTTTGCTTCATCTCCTCTCATCGAACTTCAAGCCAGTACAGAAAGACAAGTACTCATTACTTGAAACGCATCATTGGAAACAACTTTCCTGTTCAAGTGACTTTAGAAGTCTAGACATTACCGTTTGACCCCATATTTACGAGCTTCATAACTCACAGCAATAAGGCCACCTCCTTTCCAGGAATTGTATTGTACCACAGCAGTAGGATGACCTCGCAAAATTGGTTGCTTCCGCTGCTCAACTACATAAATAATGCAAACAACTCATAGTTATGAAACTAAAAAATAAAATTTTAAGCCAGAAGCCTGCTGAGGTTGATCATACTATGTTAATAATAATAATAACCCACGCAGGTAAAGGTTTTGCATGAAAGGACGGGCTGACGGGCATACACTCGCTACAGTTTCATCCCTAGGATAGTGTAACCTAATTCAAAAAAGTGTAAGAGGGATACAAATAAGCAGTAAAACAGCATGAAAAGCACTAATATCCAAAGGGTGATATAATATCAATAGAAGCGGGAAGGTCTAACATGGGACAAACAATCTTGATTCAGAAGAAAGCCAGCCACTACTCTTGGAAAGAAACACGTCAAATACTAGCATGATTACAGCCAATTTTGTACGAATAAATGGGGAAAGAAGTAATATTAGAAAGTTTCTGATATACACGTGTGGAGTGGAACACTGAGAACGGGAAACGTCACCATGTGTATTCAAGAAAATTTCAGATGAAAATACAGTGAATAATGATGGATGATGCATAGTGGGTGTGGGTATCCAACTACAAACCTTGAACATAAAAACAATCCATATCAATGTGGGCGATAACCCTAGAATTCGATGACTCTGGCCTCGCCACCGGCATCTCTCCTGGTTCGATCTCCCTCGTCTCCTCTTTTATACCCTCCCCTCCGGGAATAGAAAAGTCACCAATTTGAAACAAGCGTGAGCAAGGAAAGGAAGATAGAAGAGAAGAGGGAAAATTATTCAAATCGCTAGAGATAAAAATCCCAAGAGGAGAAGCGGGGGTGGTGGAGTGAGAGTGACTCGGCCGCGCTGTATACTAGGCTGTTCGATTTAAGGGAGTGGAAGGGTACTACCAGCATCAGGCAGGCAGGCCGCCCGCTCTACCTTGCTTCCATAATCCTCACTGAACTGCAACTATGAAATGCAGCAACCTGCTTGCTCCTGCTAGGATTGGATATTTGGATTGTATTGTTCATCACATGTTACATAACAATGGTTTGGAAGTAAAAAAAAAAAAACAAAACATAGGTTTGGAAGTTGTCGATGGGTCCTAATCTTATAATGTAAATAGCTATGGCAATATACAGATGTGTGATACATCATCTTTTAAACGTAAAAAATAACTTTGAGCATAATATAAAAAAACAAATACTATTTAGTTAAATATTACCATAGAAAAAAACCATTAATTGAGTGGAGTAGAGCAATGAAATGCAGGGGCAGCAGCCTAGTGAGTAATGAATTCATTCTAAAGCCTTATTTTCTAAAGATTGAGGGGTGAATAATATATCAAGGCAATTGTAAATTATACAAGCAACGATAAATGGAAGCAAAACTGACAACATTTCTTCAATCCAAACCAGCATCAAAAAAAAAAAAAAAAAAAAAAACCCATCACATACATCTAGTGCGCGGGAAATGCCACAAAGAACAGAGCAACAAACTAGACTTAGTGCAGCAGCAATTATTAATTAATATAGTAGAGAAGCAAGGGAGGGTGAGGAGGAGCAGCAGCCTCAGCCTCAGCCTCCTCAATCCAAAAAGCAGCAGCAACAACATTTTCTGCCAATCAACGGCTCGCTTGGGATGGATGGGATCATATTCATGCCGCCATTAGACACCATGATACTCCCAAGACAACAGATACTCATCAATGACTGCCACCGTATCAATTTGGCAGCAGCATTAAGTAAGAGATTTCAATGCACTAGAAACATTCCGGGATATCCTGTCATGTACAGGTTCCTGCACAAGTGTACCAATCAGAACATCCCCATTGTCCTCAACGATTAGGGGCCTATAATACAAACACTAATCAACATGGATGTTTTTACCTTTGTTGAGGGCGGGATAAACTTTTCATTTGTAATGGTCTCGTACAAGAGAATATATCTGTTACAATAGAAGTAGTAGTCGTTCATATATCAACGAATCAACTGCATAGACTACATCAAATTGTTTGGCCAATGAATTGAGTGTAACATGACAATATCCATACCGCCAAGCCAATTCAGAAACAAGTTCTTCAGGTGGATCCGGCAAGACCTAAGCAAGAGGTTCCATCAGCCAGAGTTAGATACTAATAGCAATGGCAAACAAAAGGAAACATAGCTGCCCTTCTTGCAAGTTACCTTATCTTGATAGGGATTACAGTGATCTTTGAACCACAATCTCAAGAATTCCTACAAAGTTTGTCACATTGAGTTCAGCTAACTGTAACTTAGGGTGGCAGTTTTACATTGAAAATTAAATGAAGGCATTGAACAATAAAATTGCAATTCATACAAATGAATAAAGGAAAAAATTGCTCCAGTGGACATAGCTATATTTTAAACAAGAATAATCCAGTCGGGATACATATCACAAACCTTGTCAATATTTTCAGGTTCAAAACCATTACGAAAGCATTCTTCATAGGAATGGGCAATCCAATATCTGCTTGAGTCTGGTGTGTGCACCTGAAAGTTCACATAACAAATTAATAACAACATTTCATCACAATTCATACCCTGAAACCTGCCTTCCATGTATATATATGCATCTAATTTACTAGATCATAACCTCGTCTATTAAAAGTACTGAGCCATCAGATGCTTTTCCAAATTCATATTTTGTATCCACCAATATTAAGCCATGCTCCAGTGCAATCCGCTGCAAAATTGAACCCAACTCAAAATGCATAGAAAGATTATATGGAAGACTGAAGAGAAACATACCAGTTGAATTATTTGTATTGTGGGCAAGAAAGTACACGCGAATACTTACAAAATATAAACATGTATATCTTTGCAATGTAAACATATATAACATGGCGAAAGCCTAGTCTCCCAGAACATTTCTATGACCAATATTATCATACCTACCGAAATGAGAACAGACCTCCCCAAAAAATACTATAGCATGGTAAAATTTCTTCTAATCCATCAAATTCTTCATATAGAAAAACATCAATGAGTAGAGAATATGTGTCATTGATGAACTCAATCTTTTAAATGAAAACCAATACACAAGAAACCATTTCAGTAAATGATGAAGCAATATCGGGTTTGTATAACAAATGATACAAAACCTTGCAAGTATGAAGAGGTTTCAATAAGGAATGACAATGAAACAAGAAAAGACTGTGTGTGCTTCCGTACCTGACCAAACTCAAACAGTTTTAATGCTGCTTTACTTGCTTCATTATAATCAGCTTCACTCATGAGCCCTTGCTGAATAATCTAGTAGGGAAAATAATCATCATCAGAAAAGCTATATGCTGCATCTTGAAACTAAGAAGAATAGGAAAATCTATTGTTGTGAAGTTTGTTTTTTTTAAAAATGACATCTAAAATATTGTAGCCATTATAAACTAGTCAATGGCACACTGTAAAATTAGCATGCTTCCCCAAATGGTTAACAGTGCAGGTTTCAACTTTTTAGAATCAAACATACTGAATAAATTTCTAGGCTTTCTGAAAAGATATCAACCAAATGAACGCAAAAAGAGACCAAAGGTAGCAAGATATACTTAGAAGTTACTATCCCTGTAGTAGTTTATCAGATCCAATAAACCCTATAATATTGTATATTAACCAGCATTTGTTCCTGAGTCACAGAGAGCAGCAACAGAAGAAGATCTTCAAATCGAAAGGCAAATAAGTTGATGGACATGAAAGTAGTTAATGGACCTGTGGATTGTTGAAGTTATAAGAATAAACTGAATCCATGGTTATTGCACTTATAATCTTGAAGGGTACAGCAAATTTGTGTTTGTTTGAAGGATTTTGTTAGACTTTCACTATTCAAAAAAAAGATCCCTACAAAAACATCAAATCAAATACTTAATTTTCATTTTCTATATTATACTAAAAACCAACTTTACATTCAAAACATCACATCAATACTTATTTATATCACATCATACCACTGTTCTAATTCAAATTTTTTACTATTCAAATCTCAATCCAAAATCCAAACCCCCAAACAAACACTTGTGAATTGATGAATTAAGTTCAGACAAAGTGAACCTCTTTTGGTGTTATGGGAACATCATGATCTGCAGCTTTAGTGGTTGGTGTGAGTATATTTTCAGGTAACTTCTGGTTTTTCACCATACCTGTAACAAGAGAGACAAAGGGCTTTCAGTACAAGAACATAGCTGTAACAGGAAAATGACTTCATAAGTGATTAAGGAGCTTACCGTCTGGAAGGGCATTGCCACAATAGTTTCTAATGCCTTTTTCGTAGATAGTCCACAGAGACGTATTGGTACTTCCAGTCACATAACCTCTAACTGCAGGTAACCACGATCACACAGTTTACTTTACAGTAAGACATGACTGCCAAATGCACTAGTTCAACTGAATAAAAATCCTAATGCTTGCAAGTGGTGAACTTCTATAAGAAATGGACTTTTTTATGTTGGCACTAATGCAAAAACAAAATACCAAAAATGCTAGAATTGCATAATGACTCACCCACAAACTCAACAGGATATACTGAACATTTCTTTGCAATAGTTACATTTTTATCTGGGCTGGACACAACTGCATTTGATATTATATGCTGAGTTTTACTAAACCACCACAAACTTGTTTCATTGAGCACCTGAAGAACAGTGTGTTACCATCAACCATCATCCAAGGATATAGAATTAACTCTGAGTGAAGCAATATATATATATATGAGTGTGTGTGTGTGTGTGTATAATCTAGAGGGAAAGTAGCCAAACCAAGAATCAGAGAATAGACATCACCTGTCCCTTGAAGGGAATTGAAGCAAGAACTCTGTCGAAGGCACTTTGCCTGTCTGTTGTAACTAGGATTAGATGGTCTCCGCTATCATAAACATCTCTCACCTGCAATGTCCATTAGATCACCATTATAATTTAGAGTGATGTCTGTAAATGTGTTAGTTGATGATTGTATTGCATCCACCGCCTACAAAGCAGCCAACCAGGTCTATATGATCCAAAATTCTCCAAATAACAATGGCAAATGAACAGAACAGTGTAGTTGCTACTTACCAACTATTCTACTAAGTGTTCATTAAGTACAATGAATGATAGGTTGACCAACATATGTCTTCCAATTTGCACCGATCATCAAAATATTTCTCCCTAAAATATATAAATTCCAAAATATCTACTGTTTAAAATATTATACATAAAACCTATTTCATGTATTGAACATCAATATCCATTCACATAGCATGGGCCCATATTTTTATCAAACTTTTTACTATCTGTTTCCAAAGATATCTTAATACACCCTTTACTCATTTAATCATTAAGGAAATAGCTCTTAATACAATAGCCCAGTATTAAATCATCAAGGAAATAGTTTTCGTAACAAAATAAAGAAACAGCTTACTCTTAAATCATGAAGAGGAAACAGCTGAAATAGAGAGAAACGGAAGGATGAAAAAAATAATAAAAGAAAAAACGAACCTTGCCTCTGGCCTTGGAGCGAAGAGAGGGGACAGTAGAATCGAGATGCGTTTCGGAAAGGCAATCAGACAGGGAAGCTTTGATAGCATCGATGAAGTGATCTTTTCGATCAGTGTGCGTGAATGGGTGCAGGGAGTGAGAAGCTTTTGGAAGTAATAAAGCAGAGGGGGTAGAAGTGGACGATGATTGAGGAATGACGACCATGGAAGGGAAGGGGGAGGAGGAGGAAGGCGGAGACGGCAGGGTCATGGATGGAGGAGAGGGTTTTGTACAGATATGCTTTAGAGCCATCCAGGCGGAGCGGAGCGGAGCGGAGCAAAAGTCTGTAAGATCCCTCCCTCTACACTCTTGAGCCGCGGGAAGGGGAAGAGAAAGCAGGACGCTGTGTAGTGTGTACGCAAAGCCCAAAAGTGCAACGCCCGCACCGACGCTGTATTGTTTAGATTAGGATAAACTATTACGAGGTTGGGTTTCTTTTTTATATTAATATATATGTATTTTTTATCGGATAATTGGAATTAAATCCTTCTATACCATATTATATTGGAATTCAGTCTTCATTCTAAATTTATTTATCTGCACTCTTTCCTTTATAAATACTTTTATATTTAACTTCCTTCCAACGACTTAACCAATATTTTTGCTTCTGTTCATTTTTTTTTCTAATTTTTTGATTTTTCATGTGGTTGGTTTCATTATTCTCTTCTTCACTTGGGTGGACAAATGTGTTACATGTATCATCTAAGAGGATTTTTTCTAAGTTCCTATTAAATCGCAATGAATATCCTCTATTCCCTTGCATCTCACTCTAATCTTCAAGTGGGTATACAATATTTTTTTTATTTTCGAAACAAAATATTATACCTATAAATAGAAGAATTTATTTATCCTTTTAGATTCAGTAGTTTCTCTTAAATTAGATTCACACTTCATTTTTTTTTCTTCTTATATCTCTTTTTGGGAATATATTATATGAGTATTAGTAAAATGGAAGTTTGAATTATGCACGTAGTATGTTCAATAAAATGTCCCAAAAAACAATTTGTCCTAGTGTCAAAGAATTTGATAAATTATTGTCAATTATTAGTTGATATTCTCCGCTTCAAAACAGTGCCTATCACAAGAATGATAGGTATGTCAAAGAATTTATATTAATACATTGACAACATGTCTGAACATATATATTTTAAGAGAGGGTATATACATGAATATTAAGCCAATATACAGGTTGTTATTGGAAGTATATTACAAATATATATATTTTGAAATTAGTAAAATAAATTTAAAGAAATAAATTTATATTTATAATTTGGTTTTTGGGTAAAATTAGTTACTTTGTGGGAACTAAAATACTCTACTGGATTATGCTTACTCACAATTAACAAACTTTCAAACACATCCATATGTAAATCTATTCAACCTCCATTTGCAAATATTTGGTTTTTCAAGCGATTAAATATTGGGGATTACGTGGATAATAGCTCATTTTCATATGTTAACTAAGATCATAAAAGTTATCTCAAACAATGTCTTATGTTGAATATATCCGCTTAATTGAAAGTTCTTATCAATTTGTTTCTATATTACTCCAATAAATGTACTAGTTTTATTATTTAGCAGATTAATTTATTATTTGTGGTAGCTCATAGCTAGCATTTCTAATTTGGTTGGCTATTATTGAGAATTTGGATGACAATAATTAGAAATTCTCTTACTTAAAAGAGATTGCATTTGAAGCAGAAGTAAACACATTTTCAGATAATGATGTTTTTATCCATGTATTTTATTTTGATTTTGTCAAAATTAAAAACAAATTACTATTCAATTATAGGCATTTTTTATTTGTGTGATGTATTAATTAACAGATTGAGTCATTGTCTATCGGTATATGATATTTATATCAAAATGAGAGTTTGACTTTAAATATTGAAAGTACGTAGAAGCGTCTAATTTTAATGTTTTTGTAGTTATATTTGTTTCTGGTAATATAATTGTAAATGGTGAGACAAAATTGTTAATTTATGTGTAGGCTTGATTGGCTTTGATGGAAAAGGACAAAAGCAGCCCGGAATTGCTAATCATTTGTTCATATTAGGGGGAGCTTTATGTAATAGCTTTATAAGCTGCCACGAAAATACGGTTGTTTTGGTCGTCTCGAGCATAACAGAAGAAGTTGTAAAGACCGGCTAGCGTAGTCTTTTTGAAGGTGTAATCTTTTATTTGTCTTGGACGTCCCATTTTGGCGTGTTATTACTTTTGGCGTGTTTGATATAATGTAATAGTGGGTAAATATACAACAGCAAGACCACTTGCATAGAACCGCGATTGTAATTTGGATGTACTTTGGTACATGAACACGAACAACGGGTATTTAGCAGTTCTATTTTGTGTATGATAATTCAATAATACGAGTATCAGAAAACGTAACATAGGCACACAAATTATCTGGTGAGGTACTTAGTCGATCTCTCAAAGCACAATGGTGTGGTATGATATAACTGTCCTATCAAAGTTAGTGAAGTCTCGAAAAGTAATAATCAAAATGGTATAAAGTAATCGGAGCACATTGTGTTGCATCTTTTAGACCTATACACAATTGATTGTAATTAGTATACTAAGACAAACGGGAGAATGTACTAACGTATATAGACACGAACAACATGTATGTGATAGTGCTCATTTTTCTATGATACTTTAAAGTCATATGTTTCTGGAAAGGTATTAGAGCCACACGAATGGTTTTAGCGAGTGTATAATTAATGTACCGAAGCACGTGGGCGTGGTAGCTTAAGTACCAACCTATCAAGGTCACTTTTGGTCATATGCTAAATCATCACAAGTATTAATAGGAGCTATGAAGATACAAAGTTATAAAACCTTGTCATGAAATTACGTTGTTCAGTTACATAAAAGACTGGAGTAGGTACACAACTAGTAGAATTTCGTATACGAATCCATGTTAGGGGTACGGCACAGCTGCTCTAGAGTATTCACCTCCTTAGCCGAGTCAAACTCTATGCTTAGATGTCCCTCAACGAAAGTTGTTGTGTGCGCTACGGTGTGGATTAATATGTAATAGGTCTAAAGATTTTCAATTTGTGGCAACAAACATGTCCTTTAACAACCAACATAATTCAACTTAACCACTTATGACATTATTAGACATCTAAAAGTGAAAATTAAACTATAATAGTACATATATCATACAACTTATCTAATTTATTCTTAACTTGTTTAACCATTCATAATTGATACGTGTTTTTTACATTTTCTGACAATTCAGAGTGTCACATGAAGACTACTATGATGAAGGCATCCATGGTTACCATCAGCGATTGAATATTTTGAAATAAAAATGGTTGTTGTTCAACAACAGGTTATCAGGGCATATATACTCTTTACGGAAGCATATGATACATTACTATAGGTAGTTAAATTTTTCCTAGGGTATATGGATATTTTATGTAAGTACGTAAGAATATGACCTAGGTACAAACACCGACATGTGAGGTATAATGATTTCTTAGATATTATTTGTGTATTAGCAGGTATCCTTGAATGTAGTTGATTTCAGTCATTCCCACTAAGAGGGGCAAATTCGCGTATTCGGTTAAAGCACTTCCTCTCTCAACTTTGGTAGACTGAATGTTGTCGTGTTTGCTACTGTATGGATTACTACGTAATAAGTCTAGAAAATAATCAATTTATGAGAATAGTGATGTATGAGTAACAACCAACAAACTTAACCATGTCATTTTTGACTTGTTTAGTCATCCATAGTATATATGTGTTATTTTTCTTTACTTATAGTTCAGGGAGTCACGGAAACACAATAATGATGAATTCATCGATGATTATCAAGAGTAATTTAATATTTTGAACTAAGTACGGCCCTTTTTCCAACCAAGATAAGTAAGACATAGATACGCGATAGCAAAGCATATGACTTCATATTGTAGATACGTAAAAACTGCATTGGGATATGTCTTTAGAGCACATGTACAACAATATGCTTGGGATACAAAGACCGACAATCAATGTATGATTGGTGGTTACTTAAGTATTATATGTATAGCTGCAAGTAGTATCCTTAAATGTGATTGATATCAGTCAATCTCCCGACGAATGAGGCAATTAAGGCCCTCCGTGAGAGCACTATCTCTATCAATTGAGATATATACATGAGTGTTAAGACGATATATACATAAGTGTTTAGAATTTGTATTTGAATAATTTTATTTTTTATATCGGTGTGTTATTGTATTTAAAATTGTTGAATATGAAAAAAAATTGACTGTATTTATTTTTTGATTGATTATTTTAAAAAAATTAATTTACTTTTTTTTTAATAAAATTATATTTATTTTATTTTATTTTCACGTTTTAAATTAAAAAAATGAAAATATTAGTAAATATGAAAAAAAAAATACAAAATTGTGTAAATATCTATTTGTATATTTTTATATAAATCTTTTGATTGGAAAAACTATTACAATATAACAACAAGAATAAATGCATCTAACTAAATCATTATTTAAAGTTTATTCAATTTTATTTTCTTTTAAATTTTATTTTCTATAGAATAAAGGTTTGTTTATTTTGTGAAAATTTTCTAACACATTTTTTTACAAAAATAAATATATTACACATATTTATTATTTTTTCTTCACAGTTTTATATATCTCACATAAAGAAAAAAATCTCTTCAAACTAAAATACAAAACAAAGAAACCCTAAAATTTATATAAATATATAAAATACTATAAATAAATTTTATTACTAATATTTATAATAAAAAGTTGTATCTTACACGTACGATTTTGAATATTTGATAGAATAATTTTTATACATAAAAAGTTTATATTGCTTATAATATTTTTATAATGTTTACATAATATTTTATATTACGCTAAATATACTTATAAATTTGTGTACAAAAGTAATACTATAAATTGTTAATATCAATTTTTCTTATATTATAGGTAGAATTAAAACAATAAGTAAACTAAGATTGATATAATTATATAGATAATTATGGTTGTATTTAAAATTCTATATATCTAATTTTCTATTGCAATTTTCTATAATTTGTCACTAATATTGATTATATATACACACATATACATATCATAGTTTTATTAAAATTTTACGTACATATTTTGGATTGTATTTCATATAAATTTGTCATATTGTAATTCTTACATTATATACTTTATTTTATAATTACACTACGATAACATAATAATGTTTGTACAAATTTAGAAATTTCAATGAATATGAATATGAATATGAATAAATTTGACAGGAAATAAGAGTGATCGAATGCATTGAGGAGGAGAAATTTCAATGTATTGTGGTACATAAACTAGAATAGCGGGTATAAAATTTTCTTTAGGGATCTGGCAAGTGTGTAGTAGTTTTCTACCTCACCACTATAATAAA